AAAAAAAAAAAAAAAAAAAAAAAAAAAAAAAAAAAAAGAAAAGAAAAAAAAGAACAAGAAATACTCTGATTGATTGTCACTTTCATTTTATATGGGTGTTAACCCTCCATCATTGGTTATGAAAACAGAGGTGTTAGGTCAATAGAGTACAAAACCTGTTTAAAGTTGCGTCACTTAAGTAACAGGATCAGTTTTCAGAATCTTTATCTCTTTCATTTTGAGAGCAGTGGAACACAGTTAGAAATTCTGATTGTAGCTGTTAGTCTCCCCTGCATGTTGGTTGTAACATTACATTGCCTTGCTCATGGACATTCTGTCAACAGGCTCCTGGCTCACAGAGTAGTTCCAATAGACCCCCAGCATCTGCAACACCACCATCTGGGGGTGGTATGCACGGCCTTCCTGATATGACACCAAACTCTGGTACATCCTCAGACATGATGCCAACTTCAGGAGGATTGAATGCTGGAATGCCCTCAGGAATGAATGACCCAATGAAATCCAACATGCCCCCACAACTGGGAGGAATGAGTGGTCCTACCACTGCAGGATATGGTGCCAGTTCAGTTGGTGGGATGGGACAGTCAACCTCATCCCCTCCTCAACTTCAGCATCCACCCATGACAGCGCAGAGTCACATGGGTTACCCGAATCCCTCTCAAAGCCAACAGAGTCGACCGGTAGCTCCACCAACCATGTCGGGACCAATGGGAAATTTACCTCCACAGGTTCCACCCATTCAGTCTCATGCTCCTCCAGCTATAGGTCAACACATGATGTCACAGAATCAACCACAGTCTCAACAATACATGATGCAGCAGAGGCAGATGCAGTTCAGACAAGGTGCACCGCAACAGGTAACCCAACTTTTCCAAGTCTCATGTTGCAATTCTTTTTTCTTCCTTCATGCTTTACTTCCCTTATTTGTGTTTCTCCTTACTTGAAAATTAATGTTTTAACCAATTTATTTATCCCCTTTGAAATATTTTTTTGCAGATAAATAACACAGTTAGATAAAATGGTGATCATTATCATCACAAATTATATCAAATTGCCTTAAAATTTTAGACATAAGAGAATAATGATGATATCACTATTGTTGTGTCGTGCATGTAGATGCCTCAGCAACAACAGTCGCTTTCACACAGTCACCCTGGATATGGGCCACCTAGCTCAGGAGGTTTGCCATCAACTGGTATGATGCCAGGGTATCCCTCACAGCAGCAAACACAAAGATTCAATCCTTACAGACAGCCTCCTCAGCAACAAGGCTTGTCACACATGCCATACCCAACCCAGCAACAGCCAGGACAGTCAGTTATGGGTCAGCAACCACCAATGGGTCAGACACCTGTGGGACAGTCACCCATGCAACAGCCACCACTTGTATAACATGACTTGTCACAAGTCTGTAATGTGACACAATTTGTTACAAGATCATGTGGCTGAAATAGTTACAAATTTATGTTGCAAACATGGTTGTGGAAGTGTTACACCCAGTTTGATAAGATCTGGATCAGAAGTACCACTGCCCTCATGACATATGTTCTAGCTCTGCAAGTGTATCCAGCCACAACACATCATCTGAATGTCTACATGAGGTTCTTTAGAAGACTCTCTCAGGGAGATATATCCTATGCTAGCATCAAACTGACTCTATTAAGAAGATAAGGTCGTTTTATTTATCAGAAATTACGTGGAAATTATAAATCTTTCTTGTCAAATGCTTTCTATAACCTCTCCCCTTCACTTTCACCACCTGCCCTTGTAATGTGGTTCAGAAAGTACCCTTGTTGAAACAAATGCTTTGGTATTTACAAGCCTGGGTTAATAGGTCACATTGTATATTTAAAACTTCCTGTAAATAATATTTAGATTTCATGGTTTACTTCAATACGGTAAGTTGTGTTTTGTTTGCACAAAGGCAAGGTATACAAGAATTAGCAGAAATTTTTCTTTTAAGAATTTGAGATATTTAATCTTGTAGGAACAAAGGTTTGTCACCAGAGATGCTGAAATCTATTTTGGGAATAATTTTTGCAATTTTCTGTTTAAGCAGAAAATGAAGATGGTAAAAGCGAAATTTTTCTAGAGTCCAACTTCAGGTTAACAGGAGGACTAATAAGTAATTATTTGAAGTTGAGCTTGATATCACGAATGATTAATGCCGAGGTTGGAGTTATTGTGCTCAAACCAAAGGCTTGGGCAGATAACACAGACACAAGGTTTGATAATTCATGATATCATGCAAAAACAGAATTCAGTAATTGTTTTATTATACATTTTTAAACAATTTGCAAAAGAAGACACCTCTCTCCAAGTTGGCAAAAGTTTGAGAACGCTACAGATGAGGAGCTTGGAAATTAGTCAGACTTTGAACTTGACATGATATCTACAGATATTGGGTTATTATGTCAACTTCATGTGCTGTTGTATATTGACTGTATGCTCTCAACCAATCAGAGTTTTCCCAGTAAGTCTAGTGTATAATAACTAAGATCATCAGTTGAGTATTGTGTGGAAAAGGTTTGGTGACAGGATCTGGACCGAACGAAAAAATAATGGTGTTGTCATGGGCAACCATCCTTGTTTCTAATGGTAACCAAATCTCATATTGTATCCCAAGAGCCACACGTCAACAATGACCCAAAAGAACTGACATTGCCAGTGGAAACTGAGCCATTCGCTAGTTACAAACAGATTTAACATCAAATCATGATCACTAAACTTCTGTTGTCTCTCTCAATTGAAAATCATAGTTGTAGTAAGAGTGGAAATAAAGAATACAATTTGACATTTGACTTCCATGCCAAGTTTTTTGTCAGGCTGAAAGTAGTCATTTAATGGGGCATGTCAATTTCTGAATCTAATCTGTGTACACCAAGTAAAGTTTAGAGACCCAGGTACTCAAAACTACTGAAACAGTGAAGTGAAAAACTTAGTTTGGTTTAGTGTGGTTGAACATGAATGGGGTGAAATGTCACAAATAACTTTTGTGAAATCTACTTAGATAAATTATATACTGCACTTGGCTTAAGTGCAGGGGTATTTACAATCAATAACCCTGCAGAAGCCTGGTACTTGAAACCATCTTTGGTCCAACTTTATCAGAGCAAGAAAACCTGCCTAAGGAGTTTATTCTATTGTTTGTGAAAGTCATTCTTTTTGTCTTAAGGAGCCATGTTTGTAGGATGGAAGATTGCAACAGTTGTGCAACAAAGATTCTCTATCTCACAAACCACTGCAGCCCTCAATTAACCATTTTCACAAGAAAATGCTAGAAAATAGATTGTCACAGCCACAATTGAACAAGCAATTGGAAATTGTTCATTTTTTTATTTTGGTATGTTCCTTTAATGTTCAAATATTTTTAGAAATGCTTGAAGACTCACTTTATTGAAGATTCTTTCCCAGAGAAAAAAAACCTTTTAAATTAAATTAAATCATTGTTAAACACCCCTACATTGTATGTGTTGATAATAGTTAACTACTTTAAAGTTCACAACATTTGTGCAAATGAAGAAATTCAAAAGGAAATACCGCAAAGAAACCATGAATTGCTTAAATGTATGTGTGTAGAAAAATTATACCTCTTGTAAACCATTACATCTGTGATAAATATTTAGTCCATGGGTACCCAAAACATATCATTCCCAAACATTTTTATTAGTATAAGCATTAATAGCAAGGTGAAAATAACAATTTCTGTTTGTTAAAGAGGGTCACTTTGTGACACAGCTGTGAAATGCAAACATAACTTTAATGCATGACATATCTTCTGACATTTATTGTATACACGAAGCCAATAATGATACAATAATATTATGTCTTAGAAATACAGCATGTACAAAATTATGAAAGAGCCATATACAGCTATGCATTCATGGTATTTTCTTGTCAAAGAATATCATTCAGCAACTGGACATTTCTACAAAACTGATCCCTGACTGCAAAGAGCTAAGATTAACCACAACACTAGAAACAATAAAGTCTGTGGTCAGACCACAATTAGTCATTCCATGACTCCAAAAAAAAAAAAGAAAGCAAAAAAGAAACCCAAGTAAATAAGAGAAAGAAAACCAGAAAATTTTTTCAAATTAATTATCAGTGGCTTCATGCTTTGGCAGCTGCTTCACCATCTCCTCCCTGGAAACAAAGACATGAAAAGAAGAATTAAATAAATGTCCACAACTATATCACTGCTTTACCACTGTAGATTTCCACTGCCCTTTCTAAGAAGACAAGACATCTTCCAACAGAAGATTGTGAAAGTTTTGGTTCTGCATTTGTTTTTTTCACAGCCAAGGTTTTCCACCCCAAAATTTATAATCGGTCAACATCCTGCTGCTATGTATAGTAACTTTAACAACTTTGTTAATCAAACAACCTCGTTACAAAAATAAAATCATATTTCTCTCTCTGAACAAAAACCATGACAATTTCCTACCATAGCTGGTCCATTGGGTAGATTTCTTGGTAATTTGTCATTACCATTAATGGATTGATCTACATAGGACCTTGAGCGGTCACCTCTGGAACCACCACGCCCACCACGCCAGCCTCCACGTCCTCCTTGACTACTGCCATCATGTCCTTGATACCTATTTCCACCTCTGCCACCTCTGTAACCTCCTCGACCTCTCCCTCTTCCTCTCCCTCGACCTCCACGTCGCATGCCACCAGTTACTCCAAAGGTCTCCATGTTTACTTTACGTTCTTGCTGCCATGAAGGGTGAGCCCTGAGAAAAGAAATCAATTTTAAAAATAGCTGATTAACACTCCACTTCACAATTGTTACCTGTAAATTGTAAACAAGGACCACTGCAAGAGAGGTGTGGTAAAGTTAAAAAAAATGAAAGACAATACCGTCTATTTCTGTTTCTGTCATTTGCCTCACAGGAAATACTGTCAAAGAAGGATTTGGAACTATCATAATAATTGAGAGGGCTTGAAGGTTGAGCATCACTAGCATAATTTTCAGGTGCACTGATTGCTTCACTTTCATCCTAGAAATAAGAACTCATCATTAGTGACACAGTCAGTGTTTAGCTTATACCCCATTCACACCAGCAAAACATGTTTTGTTAAACTGGTTTTCATTGAATGAAAATTATAAACAGAGAACTGAAAAACTTGATTTTCCATTGGATTCAAGTACTTGCTAACTTGCATTTCCAATGTGCTACATTCAAGTCAAAAATATTCGGTTAAATAGTTTCTATGAAGAAAAAAAAAATTAAACTGTGTTTAACAAAACAACTTTTAAACATGTTTAAGCTTTGGTGTGAATGGGGCATTAGTCAGAAAAATTACTTTGTACGCACATTAAGAACTCTTGGGGTTTTAACAAGGTACAGTGGTAAGGAGAGCATTCCAACCTGATCACACTTCCCTTCCAGTTGAAGATTTACTCTAATCAGTGTGCAAAAGCAAGGTCTTTTCTTCTTCTTTTTTTTTTTAAGGTAGAAGTTTGGCAAATGCTGTTACTCAAATATAAATTTTGTAGTGGACTAGTACAATTTCAACAACAAAACTGATACCTATCGTAATAAGTTATTTAGTCTAGAACATAGGTAGTCACTCCCTCACATAAAAGCAATAAACAAATCATTTCCAACTACGGCCTACTCAAGAGGTTCAACCACATAGCAAAGGACTGTCAAAACGTATCCACAATAAACCTTTTAGACAGGAAAAGTAGTAGCTCTTTAGGGTTCAGCATCTTTAAGATCCACTATTCATATGCAAAGAGTTTTTAGCCAACAAACATCATTCTTATAATCAAAATTAATTTATGCCTACAGGCAAGTGCAGATAAGTGTAACTCATTACCTCGTCTTTCAACCTGAGGTTTTCATAGAGCTTCTGCTGTAGTTCCTCCTCAATTTCTTCTTTATTGAACTTAGCATTTGAACTCTCAAAATCAAACTCGCCCTCAAATTTAACAGGACCACCAACTGTTCGTGGTTTGTTGACTCTTGGACCAGATCCTCTTCTTCCCTGTGGACGACGATTACCCACTAGAAAAAACAATTTGGTATAAAGTGAGATTGGGAATACTGCAAATAGAATAACAGTAAAGTCACCAACAGTTCAACTCGCCAATGCCAACTCACCAAGAAGAAGTTAGAAGTTAAACATATAGAAAAGTTAAATATCTTTCGTAAACAACAATTTTTTTTCTTCAACAAAGTTTATAAGGATCTCATTCAGAACTTCTAGTTGTAATTTTTAAACAGTTGTTACAGGGTTTAAATTAATTTTGGTTTTAGAAGCAGTTTTAAGTTCTAGAATCAAAGTGAGACACTTTTGACACAAAACTATTTTCCTCTATGACAACTTTGTCCTTTTCTCTGTGGTTGTCGGAGTAACCTTCAGAAATGATAACTGGCCATATAGCTTACTTCGAGACAAGCCTGGTGGTAAACATAACTCTGTATTATGCAATTTTTTCCTTTACTTTTTTTTAGGTTTGATGACTCTAATTTTACATCTAGAGCCCTGTCGCTTATAAAACTTCAAAAGTTTCAGCTGACTCTCAAATTTTACTGACTTGAAATTCATGATCATGCCATGGATGTGAACCCCATTGATATGCTTGTTAAATCACAAGAATCTCCACTCATTTAATACATTTGGCAAAGACCAAAATTAATGAAGAGAAATTTACAAATGACATTCAATGCGAGATTATTCACTGAAACCACAGTTAACTAAGTGAGGTGAAAAATAGAGTCTTTAAGACAATCATGAAATTATTCTGGCTATATGAAAGTATCATCATCACTAAGTTAAGTGCAAACAAGTTTCGTTGTAAAATCATTAAAATATCATGTTTCCCAGACCTTGTTTCTGTTTCTGAGGTTCAGTGGACTGGGTTTCCTCCGTGGGGTCTTTATTAAAAGTTTCCTTATCTACTACCTCTTGTTTCTTCTTCTTCTCTTGAGATGCAGCCGTTTTGTCTACTGAGCCTCTTCTTGACGATGGTCTAGAAGATGGTTTCTTCTTAGCCTGAACTGTTTGAGTTCCTTGCTGAGCTGTGCTTTTATCATGAGCGGCATCCTCCCTTTTATCCTCTGTTTTAGAAGTGGATACCACAGGTGTTACAGTTTCTGGAGATGGTGTATGACTGCGAGACAAAGGTACATGTTGAACTGTTGGTGGTGTGGATATCCTTGGAGGCATCATAGGACCAGGTGGCATCATTGCTGGATGTGGTGGAATGGGGCCTGGCATTGGTCTGTGTTGTGGCGTGTAACCGCCATATGGCGAACCAAATGGAGGATATGTGGTTGGATGAGGTGGGAATGATACAGGAGCAGGGAAATGAGAATAGCCAGGAGTTGGAACTCTTGAACTACCAGACTAGCAAAACAATCAAAATGGAAATAAAAAGTAAAAATTCAAATTAACATCCTAAATGGTAGGAAAAAGAAAATGGAGAGAGCGATTGTTCATTACACATTGCCCTGACAAGGGGCTAATGGTGTTATAGTGGTCTACTTATCTTAACTGATTTAATAACCACGTATGTGTATATTTTGCCCATAAGCAAATATCAGTTTTTAAAGTTCAAATTTTTTTTCCAAAATGATCTTTTATTTAATGTCTGATTTTTAAAATTCTTCTGCTGTTCATGGTAGCACACTCCAAGAGAAGGATTGTGACACTAATTGTGATCAAAAACCAAAAAACAAAACAATTCTACAAGCTTATCACAAATTCCAGGATATAACCCTGGTTGTCATATCTGATGAATTTCATATTAAATAGTAAATTTCTTTTGTATATGAGCTGGTTATAAACTACCTAGTTTGCATTTCGGCTTTGAAACCTCCATGTTTTTACTTACCAAGACATTTACCTAATGTTTTGCTTCTCAATGAATTTGAGTTATTCAATTTGTTTTCAAATCCTAAGATACTACTGAATTGAACTCCACTCGCTCATTCTGTTTGCTTCCACATCCATATTTTTGGTTTAGTAAACATTACGTCTTGTCTCGTTTGCTAGATATTCCAAAATTTTTTCTCGCTTTCGATATGACTAGGTGTAACTTAACAGTTCTGTAGCTTGCCCAGTGCCTATATTACGTTTAATTCAATCGATGGAATCATTTCGACTAGCACAAGTTCTTAATTTTTTTTTTAAGAATACAAGTCTTGTCACGTAATTATATTTTTTCACACGTACGATGTAAATATGGCGTTCGTGAGTGGACTTATCTGGGCATAACAAGCTCAACCCATTAAAGCCATGACAAACTTTATGACCTAAGTACGATTTAAAATCATGTTGACTTAAGCATTTATTTTACTGTCTCTTTCAAGCCGGAACTGAAAGTGAATGAATTGTTGTTGTCAAACAACTTATTTCCGTCACTTGACTTAAAACAAAGAATTCGCTGCGAATTCGAGCTGTAACTACACATTACATAGGCTTCCTGCATGACATACCTGGACAATGGCTGGGTCCTGAGGTAAATGCGACTCAGCACTTATTACAGTTAGATCTTTGATGTCCTGTCCTCGAAAAACAATGTACTCGTAAACCTCGTCCCTTGGAGGAACCCTTTTAGGCGCCTCTCGGTCTTCCGTTCCAAAAGAACGCACTGCAAACAAAGCAAAAGGAGAGAACACGGTGAAAAAAATGTAATATCCCAACAAAAACAGAAAAACATAGACCAATGCCAGAAAACTAACCCTGTGCTAACGTCACAACAGATTCCTTGGTGTCAATGGAATACAAAATTCCCTCATATCTAATTTCTGACTTGGAAATTAAGCTTATTTTAGTGCCAAGGTATGGAGTTCCCGAAGACATTGCTGTACAGAGGAGATATAACTGAAACTATACAAAGATGGCCTAGGATGGCCGGGATTGGAGTTAGGGGTTACTGTCTGTCAGCAAAAAGCAATATGGCTGAGCCGGATGAAAGTGTTTTCCTCAAAGAAGTGTGGGAAGAATGACGTCATTTGAAAAGACTCGCAGTATTTTTCAGTGAGCTCAGATACAACAGGGGAAGTACCCATTTGAAAAGCTGCTGTTCAAGATAAAACATTGCGCGGGCGAAAACAGTATGGCGACGTTCAGCAGCTCAAAGCTTGCTTCGAAAACAGCTATTTCTTGGTTCGAGTTCTTGTTTGATACAACAGGAGATTTGTTGAAAAAACACTTAGGGGAAGCATCAGCAGGTTTGTAGCATTTACCATTTTGTTTTTGATATTTATCGGCCAGAATTCCAGTTTTGCGAAAGAATATTGGAAAGAAAGCTGGTTATATTATATGGTATATGAGGAACTTTCCGAAAAGGGAATTTGCATCAATTTCTTCCAAAGTTGGGAGAAATGCACTAGAAGTCAAGTTAGCGCTGAAAGTGTGCATTTGTAGGGTATACTCCAGGAGGATGTGGGGTGGGGAGAGTGTGAGAGGAGGGGATGGAAGTTTCATCTCATCTCAATACCTGTGATATATTTATATTTTTAGCATTTAGTTGTGTTGTTGTTGTTTTTGTTTTAATTAGTTGGAATCTTGCTTAGCTAAAAAGTAATACATTGATTTCATAATTCCAGAACCTTCAGCCACACAACTCATTGTTCAATTTCTGGAACACTCTGGGTTGGTCAACAATAATGTGGTATGTAATCTCTTCAGGGATGAGAAAGATGAAAATTAATGTTTGTACTCATGCGAAGTGGCCTATCCATCTGTGCTATCCCCACCCCTCACCCCTCAGGTGGGGTTCTAGTTCATTGCAAGATACTCCTCAGAATTATGTCAGGCTTCCCTGACAGTTTGCCAGCATGCATTTATACTCCCAGGTTGGTAGAGGTGGAGTGTTAGTTAAGTGACTTGCTTATGAACACAACATATTGACCTCCCCACCAGAAGTGGGATGCTAGCTCATTGCAGGAAACTCCCCAGAATTTTGTCAGGCTTCACTGACAGTTTGCCAGCATGCATTTGTACTCCCAATAAAGTATACTTCATTTTTTATTAAAGTCAATTAAAACTGTGTCATGAAACACTTTAGAGAAAACAAAATTTTTGGGATTCCTTGGCTTTCTCTGAAGTGATTGTGAAAAAGTTAAACTAATGATAATGAGGTACCCTTGTTTGGTGATGATTACAGGATGTAAGGAAATTTGGATAACTTTATTTTGTTGCCTTGTATACATTGACCCACTACTTAACATATATCTTTCTCTTGCTCGGTTTGTCACAATGTTGAGAATTTTAATTGTTTGGAAAGAAGTGCACATTGATAACATTTACTAGTCCTCATTGCCAAGATGCCTAAACGAAAAGGTACCTTAACATTAAAAAAAAAAAGCATTGTGTTTATGTTTATAAGGGTGCTGCTTCTGAAACTCCTCCAACTGAAAACAGAAGAGTACAACGCCTCTGTCACTTAGCTTTAAGGATTGGAACACATCTGCAGTGGAATCTGGAAATTTTGGAAGAAAAGTAAGACATAAATATTGATCAAGCTAGTCTTTGTAGTGTTAAAAATTCATGAGTTATTAAGGTTATTTTCACTTGTAATCTTAACCTAAATGACTCATAATTTATCCTTTAGTCTTTCTCTTCAATGGCAAAGCATTTTGTTGGGTGAACTCATAAAGAGAACCCCAGGATTAGATGAGGTGAGCCAATAAATTTAAAGACAACAGTAAAATTACTAGATAAGAAAAAATAATAATATTATGATTTTTGGTGATCTATGCTAGGCTGTCAATTGATAAGATTTAGAGTGGATGTCATATTCTATAGTCAAATTACACACGAGACTGGAAGCTTTTCAGTCAAGATGTCCCAGTCTAGTTCATACAAACCTAAATCTTCAACTTGGAAGTAATTCACATCTAGACTAGTAACTGGTAAATTATGCATTCACTTACACTGAAAACAAGAAAACAGGTGCTGCACAGATTTATTTGATGGCATATTAGTAATTTGGTAATTAAAAAGTGGTTGAAAGTTGCCTATGTCTAGTTGGTGGCTATAGGCATCTCCCTGCCCTGGTGACTGGCTCTCACTGACAGCTGCTCAGTTATAGCTTCTGCTAATTGGAATTATGAAATTGTTGCTAGTTTTGGATTAGAGCTAAGTACTGTTAGCAGCTGTTACAAAGCACAAGGCAATGAAATTTTTAATTTGTGTTAACTTTTATCAAATTTGTTCTTAGGTGCTTAAGAGTGATACAGATATCAGTAAACTGGACAAAAAACATGCAATGACTCTCATAATTTACTATAGATGGTAGGAGTTTCTAAAATTTTTTACCAGGAATTAATGCTTTTGTCATTTTATTTCTTTTTTCACTTGTTTACTAGAAGAAAAATAAAAGTAGGTATTGAGTGGTGTTAAAAGCTAAATAGCAAGATACTGAATTATCTTGTGGATACAATGAATCTGATGAGTTTGTAGTAGCACATAGATTTTTTATGGTATTTTCAATGTCCACCTTACCTTGATCATCCATGTTTATATTGTTTATAGTCATAACTGTTTTCCTTACAGGTTGGTTAGGACTCTGTCTCAGCATTTTCTTCCTAATGTTGAAAAACCTACCAATAATGGGTTAGTTGTTAAATTTATGGAGTAGCAAAGACCATGATTACATTAGACTATCCATTGGAAATATTAGTTAAGTGCAAAACAGTCGTGCTTGGTTGTTCAAAGCTTGGTTATTATGACCCAGGGTTAGTGAGAAATCTGATTTCAGATCTGAAAGCTTAAAAGAAAATTCAGTATAATTCCTTTGTCAACAATTTAATTATTAGATGCTCCAAAAAAGAATAGAGATAATCATCCTGAAAAGGCTTTTGAACAAAGGTATATAGAAAGCTGGATTAAAGTTTAACCTTGGGTTAGTGCTAATTGGCCTTTGAACAACTGGGCCCAGGACCCTACTGCATTAAGGCGGCTTTGGTTCATAAGATTTTTGTTCATGTGGTCATTCATCAGGATCAGCATTCCATATAAAATTATCAAGATATAAAGATATAAAATTATCTTCATTGTCTTTGTTTAAAAAGAAAGTAAAGCAGCAATTTATCAAAGATTGTTAGACATCTGTATTGTCTGTGTAACTTTAAAATGGAAATAATACTGTTTTTCAATGTATGAATTTTAGTCTCTTTAATATACTGGTAGTTTACCTTTGTGTGCGTTTCTGTATCTCTTTGTTTTTGTGTCCCTGACCTAAACATTTAAACATCTTTATTTTCAACTGGCTGCCTGGCATTTTTAACTCTTAGGTTTTTTTTTGGGCAGCCAGTGCCCCTATCATTGTCTGTACTATTATTATAAATTTTTCTTTCTTGTATATTTTGGGGTGAAAAAATAAAGTTGTTGTTGTTGTTGTTGTTTTTGTTGTTGTTGTCCATATGCTTTGAATCTATAGACCTGAGAGCTAATTCCCCCTATAGATACCTATTCATTTGTCTGTAAGCAAGTCTTGAGAATTTGGTATCGCATCATAACAATATCTCCTGGTTGATTTTTTGATTTGCCTTGTTTATATTTTCAAACTTTTCAGTCTTACAGCTGACAACTTGGCAAATGAAAGCATTCTGAAAAAGGTAAGAAAAACTACCTTAAAAAAAGGTAATTCCCTAATATATGTTACAGGTTAAATTTGATTCCAGGTTATTTTTTATTTAACCTAGGTTGATTTTTTTTACCTCAGGGTCAGTGGGTCAGTGGGGACAGGGAACATACAAGTTTTGAGCATCTCTTTACTTTAGGGGAGAGTTAGTCTGTCCTTTTTTCCTTTTTTTTTGTTTTCTTGTGAAAATAGTAATGAAAAGTTTTATCTGTAGCTTGAAGAGCAGCTACCATTTGCTGTCCAGATACTTGAGCAAGCTCTGGGGCTAACTGAGGACATGGTCCTTCCTTCAGCTCCTTCACTGGCTGCTGCACCTAAAACAACTGAGCTATCTGAGCAAGAGAGCGCATCTGATGAGGGAGTACCAGCTAGTGATGATCAAGAACAGAATTTGGAAGTTGATGACCCCAACAATAGTGAGACTGAAAGCAAAGCCGTTGTCAAGAATGGTTCTGATGAAAAGAATGGCTCTGATGCTGTTGAAAGTCTTGATTCAAATACAATGGAAGATGTAAAGATTAAGAGAGAAGACATCGTTGCTCAGGTATGGAAATTTTCACACAATCAGATTATTATTTGCAGGTTAGTGTTTCTAAAAAATAGTGAATTCAGCTCTTCAAATTTTGGTTGAAAACTTCTTTTTGTTGTTTTTGTTTTGTTTTGTTTTGTTTTGTTTTAAATCCTTTGCTTTTATTACAAAACACAATTCTACAAAACATTACATACAATGCAAGACTCATTATGCTACTCTACTTACAGAACAATACTTATGATACTTACGATGTAGGTTACTCATGCTAGCAATACAGTACTGAATATGGTTACTTACAAAAATATAATTACTTGCAATATGGGCTACTTACATTACTAATAATATAATACTCTACTTACATTACTTGCTGAATATACAGTTACTTACAATACATTATATGGTATATTGACTTTGAGGAGGCAGGAGTACTTCTCAATAAAACATATAAGTAAGACAAATTTTCAAGATTGTATTTAATGAGTAGCTTACTGATAAAATCCTGAAAGGAGATGGCCAGGCTATTTAACTTGGCTGAATAAATATAATGGCAAATAAATAAGGCGGTGTAGTTGAATTTCCGTATTATTGTTGTGTCGTGGGAGCTTGCAGCAATACCAAACAAGGTCTCCTCTGTGGTAGGAGAGATTTGGCATGCATTCACTTGGTTGAACCAGTTCAAGACCTTTTGGGTAAACAATCTGGTAAACATATATTCGATAAAAGAGTGCTGAATTGAATCTCTATTTCTGCGGTATACACATTCATTGTCTGCCTTAAAACCAAATCTGAAAAGTTCTTTCTTAGTTACTATCTTTCTGTGGATTAATTTAAATTGAAATTCTTTTAATTTAGTTTCTCCACAAATGTTTTTCAGTTTTGGTTGAAAATGAAAATGAGAACAGGAATACTGTCAGACATCATATACTAAAACCCAAAACAGTGGGACAGAATTACCTAAACAAGTGAAACCACTAAATAAATGTTCAAAGCTACACCCAACAACTCAACCAGTCTAAATGAAGGAAACAAAACTCATGAGAGAAATGGTGCCTTGTCAGAAATAAACAACAAATTGTCTCACAATATGTAGATTTTGAGCATTTAAACATGTTAAATTGTTTTGCCTTTTGAGAAATTACAGCTAACTATGTAAAGCTTCTGTTTTGTACATAACTTTGGCTCTATTTTATTTTAGGTTTCCTTTGATTTAGGAACCCTATACTTCTACCAGGAAAAGTTCCAACGGGCAATGAAACTATTTGAAAGTTGCAGGAATGCACAGGTACAGATTTTAACCATGCCATTACACCATTACAGTATATTGGGTCAACATTTGTTAACAAGCAAAACTGCTTTCAACTTGGATTGGAACATAAGATATTAAGAATATGAAAACAATCTTCTCAGTAATGAATACTACTTAAGCTGTAGTGAAAATAAGGCCTGAAAAAATTCAGGCCTGCGTGGGATTTGAACCCTTGACCTCTGTGATACTGCTGCTATGCTCTACCAACTGAGCTAACAAGTCAACTGGGAGCTGGTTATTATGTTGGTTCATTAGAAACAAGAGGAGAGGATTAATTTGGAATGCAAATGATAACCTTGGAAAAATTTTACTTGGCTGAATTTTACTAGATGATGGTTCATTAAACCATGACAGCTTTTGTTTATAAATTAACAATTATTGTTTACAAATTGCTTGAAGAGCTTAATGTTCATGAATAATAATCTTTTTTCCAATGTATTTTTGAAAAAATCTTCCCATGAAAATCAATGAAAATTGATTGAAGAATTTCAAAATAATAGGTATACATTGAAATAGTTTGCTTAAAGTCCAGATTGATGCTCATCAATAAGAATCCTTTTTCTTTTGTTATCCAAAGTGTGAGCAGTCATCATTTTACACTGTGTGTGAGAAGAAGTTGTACGGCTACTATATAGCTTGTTGTGGTTTAACAGGCATCCCCTCTGTGGCCCTGAGTACTCCCACTCCTACAGAGAGTAAGCCTTCCTTAGCTGTGAGACTTGAGCATTGCCGACATTCTGGATACAATGTTAGTAATGCTACTTTGCTATTCATTCTGTTTTCAATTTATTCATCAGTGCAAGTTACTTTGAATTAACTGATCCTAAACTCCAAGTTGCGATATATCATTATAATTACTTTACTTATATGACAGGAGCAAATTGAATTGCACAAGAACTGACAGTAGTTGACTAGGATTTTCACTAATCATGATTTTTTGTTTTGCAATTGGTACTTTACTCCATTTCCACATCAGATTTCTTAGCCTGTTCTTTAAAAATAAAAAGCAATTGATGCTTTTGGGTTTGTTATTAGAATAAGACATTTTTGTATATTTTTGTTTTAAGGTTCCTGTCGAAATTTCTATTTCAACTTTTGTTGTGCAAAGCTAGCTAGCTATAGATAGTTTTGTGACAAAATAATATGAATCTAGATACCATGTAGTTAGTCCAACTTTATACTTTGTCTTCTATTATACAGAATGTCATTGCAATCCTTTTGGAAGACAACATTGCACTGGAACTGCCATTGGAATATAGAGAGAATCTAGTCACAGAGCTAAGGACAAATAGTCGAAGAATGAGTGAAGATGAAGAAATTACTGGAAACGTTTCTCTTGACTGGCAAGTCATGGTTTGTAACATCATCAGAGACGTTATAGAGGGAAGACCAACAAATCCTGGATTTTGGCTTTCATTAGGCAACTGTTATCAGAATCAACTGGATGTCATATTTTCTGTGAGTGATGTTTTTTTTTATGACACAACCTATAAAGGCCTGTGTGGGTGTGCTTGTGTGATGATGTAAGTTTACTGGTAATAGGTGAAGAAATATGGTATAATTTTGGTTGGGATGGGAGTGTGTTGTTGTCTATTAATGCAAGATGTATTGTTAATTTATGTCACAAGTAATGGGCTAGAGAAAGTCTGAGTTCCCCACAAAGAATAGAGGCCCAGTTCTTTGGATACCAGGGCTTTTGGGATTTAATGTTCACAGTAAGCTTCCAAAATTTGCTCTATGCTTGCAAAGGAGCTAAGTTTGACACTAGTACATTCAGCTAAGGATTTATTTTCATTAGCTGTCTTTTTTTAGCTTTGTTTGCAGTCGGTACCAATTGAAGATGACTTCCCTCCTCATGGTGTTAAGGATAGCCACAGGTTTAAAATCCTCAAGTCGTTTATTCAGTAAGTTATTAGTGCTTGTAGCTGAGGTTACTCTGAACCCCCAGGGCTGTCCCAGAGAGAAAAAAATTCCTATGTGCATTTTTTTTGTTTTGTTTTTTGTTTGGAGAAAACCTCTTGTAACTGTTTATTGACAAGAAAAGAAAGTCATAGATTACATGTTATCATGTTTTCCCTGGCTAAGCTCTGGATATAGATTTTGGCTCAGTTAGTAAACAAGTAAACAAAAAGAAGAAGGTTCACAGAGTCTAATCAAGTGTATGTGAGAATAGATAAAAGGTTAAGTTTCTAAAGAAACTGTGGTGCTGCGTTGGTAGGAGAGTATAGCGGGTAATTTAGTGTTAACAACTGAGTTGAAAATGTAAATTAGCCACCATAAAGAGTAAAAAAGCTGATGTTTTGAGTGTTAGCCCTTCGTTAAAGAGCAATTGACTGATTGAGTGATTAATCAATCACTCTGATGAAGGGCTAATACTCAAAACGTCAGCTTTTTTATCCTTTACGGTGGCTAATTTAGGTTTGCAACTCAGTTGTATGTGAGAATAGTCCTGTAAAGGATTGATGCCATGGTCAGTGACTGTCACTTCTACAATGGGAGTGGTTGTCATCTTTGGAGTCAAACAACTTCCATGTAGGTTGTTGAAATGTCAGTCTTTGTTTTCTTTCATGGCAACCCCTACTTAGACCGTCAGAGTACATTATCAACCTCTATTCTTAAGTTCAAACCATTTACTGTGAAAGAAAACTTAAGATATCTTCAAGAAAAAACACATTAGAGTAGTTAGCTGATAAAGGTTCAAGATTATATTAAGTGCTGATTTTTAGATAAAGTTTATAGCAGTTTGATGTTCACATTTCACAAGATTGTCTTTACTGTGTAATGTCCTTTTCAGGATGATTTGTTGTACCTGTGAGCAGGTGGATGGATGGAAAATTGCGAGGAATTCTGGTGCTAAAATATTTTTGGATGAAGAGGTAATTACACACATGACACTTTCATATGAAATAAACAGCCTGGTAATTTGTTGTAAGTTGGGTGCAATTTGGCTCCTGGATTCAATTAGGAAAGTTTATCTTATTTAGTAAGTATTGACTTGATCGACACCAGTTAGTTTTTCCAGCTCATTTCTAGAGATATGATCCAAATTCAGCTAACATGTTAGTCACTCCTTGTAATGTAACATGCCTGGGCCTTTCTGTCTCCTGTGTCCTCTGGAATGATTAATAATAATCAATGATTACAAGTTCAGAACAAAACTATGTAAATTTGATCTTAGGATGGAATTGAAATACAAATTAAATGTTTTCAATCCACATTTTATGCTTTGTTAGGAAGAACCAATGGATTATGTCCAGAGTGAAGTGGTTGATACTCAACCAGATGTTATTGAGCAGGGCTTAATCATTGATCAGTATAACACAGAAGGTAGTGTATGCCATCAAACAATGAATTTTCACCTCATTTAGTATACATGGTAATTTGGTGTTTGAAGTAAAGACTAACATATAGAACTGAATTTTAAATGGATTTTATGAAAAAGTTGAGAAATTTAGGTGTACATAAACTTCAAGCAATAAAATCTATGTAAAAGCATTGAAAAGGGTTTTGCTATTATACAGTCCACTCAGCCAATGCACACTTTTGTTGAAAAACAGTACATTTAACTTGTTCATGAGAGCCATTTCTTATGCTGTTCATGTGCCATCATGCCATTAACAGTGGCATTAGCAGGAGGGCAGGGAAAAGCTGCATGGCCCAGGAAGATGTGTGCAGAAAGAAGAAAGGAAAGAAGGGGCATGGCAGCAGTCATGGGTGAAAATGCTTATTGACTGAGTTAGGTTGGGCCAGATGGAAAAATATTTGGCATAGTATTTCTAAATCATTGTAACTCACATTTACAGCTGCATCAGGACAAGAAAGCACAGAGTTAAAGAAAGGCTTCCTTTGCAATAAGCTGCGATGCACAGTTGATCCAGGAGAGATCAGCAATCTTGTGGAAGAGCTTCATCAACTTGAAAAAGGAAGGAAGCATTCAGAGGTACAGTAGTGTGTGTTTTTTTTTCTACTGTACAGTCATTGTAAAATGCTTTTGGATAGTGATAGAAATACTGCTATATAAAAGAAGTATCTATTATTATTATAAGAGTTCAGTGCTTTAGAACAAGAACCCAACATTAAAACCTGGGTAGGGTTCAAAATCAGACCCTATGATGTGCAGTCCAGTCTAGTCTGCAAACCACCAAGCTTCTGTTATTCCAACTCAAATAGATAAATCCATCATGTACGGAACATCCTTCTGTGTATTATCATTTCAGCCAAGACTGGGTTTGCATGTGGGTTTTGTCTGTACCCAGTGTTTAGGCAAGTCTATCTTAATTGACTGTTCAACAGCCAAACTAAGAGTCCACCAATTCTCAACTTATATTTAATAGCAAAGTGATATTCTACTCAACATGATATTCCAGTTACTAAATTTTGTATTTCAATTCTTATATTTCAGGAATTTGTCTGTCTACTATACAAGAGTCACCTTGAAGAGATCAAAAGTCTTCAACAACAAGACATACTGCATATCCTATTTTCCAAAGCCTTGCATTGCTCCACTGTTAAGGTAATTGGGATTTTTATTCTCAGCATGATAAATTTGAGACTCAGACTTGAACACACATTGTACCTGGTACACCAGGAAACTGGTTATCAAGGATCTGTGCATAATATCATATGATGTAATTTTAACGAATTACCTGCTATTGTTGTTTATTTCCTTTAGGAGTACAACAATGCTTCTCAGCTTCTTTCTTACGCCCTTGGGATGGTGAACACCGTGGCTGGCAGAGGAACTGTCAACAGTCCACTTGAGAAAGTAAAAGCTGCAATTCACCAAGAACTTCTTGTTCTGGATATTTGTCATGAGTCAGGCAACAAAAGGTATCTATGCTCTACATTTTATTTAAATTTGTTTTTTTCTTTGAGCTCTGCTCAAAAGGTTTGGGTTTCAAAAAAAATTAATTCAAACAAAATAAAATCATTCTTTGCTTTTACTTATAGAACAGATGAGATTTCCAACAGGGTCAAGTCTTACATATGGCAAACTACACCAGGTATTAGCAATTCTCACAATATTATCATAATTTGAAAAAAAAAATTTGATATGAAGGCTTCATTTAACCCTTTACACCCTAACATCAGTATGCATATTCTCCATACTGTTCTCTATACATTTCCTAAGGTGCTGAGAAGGAGAATTTGTTTTACAATCAGGACTTTCTTTAGTTGGTGATCATTTCCTGTATTCTTTTTACTGTAATGTGTGAATTGTGAGTGATATTGTAAGGAGAAATTAGATGCTAATCACTCCAAAGGGTCTAGGGGTTAAGTTATTGTCAGAAAGAGTACTATTTAAAGATTAGTGATTGATACACTTCAGATTTAATTTAAGCTCCATGCAATTTGTCCAAACATGGTTTAATGCTTACTATTGTGTCGTTAATATATGTTTTTGTCAACAGGAGCAGCAGAAGTTCGCATTGAAGAGCAAGTAAATGCCTACCTCTTAAATGGCAAGGAATGGGAATTTTTATCAGAAATAAAAGTTGATGAAAATGCACAGTCAGTAGACCACAGATCTGTGAGTACCAAATTTACCATCTTTTGAATATAAATTTTGTATTTGTTCTTCCTGCGTTTGGAAATTGGATTAGACTTGAAGTCTTAATTATCTTCACTTTTAGATTAGTAGATTTTGGGTTCTATATAAACATCTGTTTTATTTAAATTTCAAAAGACAACCTCACAATTTTTACTATTCATTTGTAGCTGAGTAGTTTGTTGGCCTCTGCCTGTTATTATTTGTCCAAACCCCAGGGATGGAGGAAGCCAGCCAGGAGTCTGTGGGATGGTGGTAAGTCTACAATGCTTTACAGTGAGACAGCGGCAAACATTTTAGTGGGCTTAACCCTTTCACTCCCACAAGTGACCAAGACAGAATTTCTCCTTACAATATCAATACAATATCAAGCAGGCAGGTGATGAGAATAGAGAAGAATATCAATCATGGGATTATTAGTTGATCCAATACCAAATTCTCTGAACTAACATCATAAGAATTGTATGGCAGATAATAAGGAGAATTACTAATTAGATCTTGGGAGTGAAAGGGTTAAGGTGTTTTTATAATTTTTTAATATAGATATGTCAATTAAATTAAATAAAAGACATCTTTCAGATAACATCACCAAATGAATTTGGAGTAGGATTGGGTGACAAATATTATTTCATTGTAGGTTGATTGTTTTGCTTTTTATTTTTTAGTTCTCAAGATATTTAGTAATAGCACTGGACAACAGAAGCGGTCTGCTGATGGAAGCCAGGGAGCTGCAGTAGCCTCTCAGTCTGAAGGACTAAAACTGTAAGAACTATGTTCTCATACATCTTTTTGGGACAGGTGCATGGACGGGTGGGGCATACCATGGTCCTGAGCAGTTTTCTCCAGAAGCACTAGTTGCTGGTGTTTTCAACAGCTACCTCTTTCTGAAGTGGCAGCTACTTTAACTAGACAAAGCCATAAAATACCTTTCTTGATCTGAAATAAATTCTAACCTTTGCAGACTTGGTGTTTTAATTGCTACCCTCTCGATATATCTTGGTAGAACACTGCTTGTGGTTAGTAAACTTGACTCCAGATCTTAAGGTTCACTTGTGGTTCAAGCCTCTGCTGAATCATTGGGTTGTGTTCGTGGGCAAGGCAATACACTCTAACAATGCTATCTTACCTTGAATTAAAAATGGGCATCATCAAATGCTAAGGGGGGATAGTTGTAACTCTCATATTTAGCTTAGACATTTTTAAAACTCTATCTATTGAATTACTTCACCTCCTCTTTTTTATTTGTTTTCTCTTTATTACCTGTAAGTCTTAATTATATAATGACAAAGTAATCTTAGAGATATCACCTACTACTGACATTCATGACTTAAGTAAGGTCACTAATCTAACAGATGTCACCTCAATATTGAGGTAAACTTTCACTGGTGTACTGGTTACTAATCAAGCATTATATTGTATTACAGAACCAGTTTCATACATTTTGTAAGAAAAATCAAGGTAACTTAGTTTGTATTTATTAACTTGCATTTTTTAAGATTTTTTTTCTCAGAGTAACCATAAAATTTTGTTGAATTTTAAGCCGTATTTTATGTTTTGTTTCCTTCTCAGGAGGAGACTGTGCTAACTGTGTTGCTATCTTGCTTAGTAAGACTACGTAATGCCTCTAACAAGGTTTGTAGATCTCCAAGTTAAATTAACTTATTAAGTTATCTCTGAAAAGATTTTCATAGTAACTAAAGATGCATTGAAATCATGGCCTTTACTTAAAAACTGAGAGTTTCTAGAGCCTAACCATTCCCCATTTGAATACTGCTTTATTAAGAGGCTTTTTTTTTTTGGGGGGGGGGGGTCTTTCCCTGTTTTTCCCCCTTAGGCTTTTTAAAAACCCAAGATGTGATCAGCAATTCTCCCTTTTAGCTCCATTTATTTCCCTTTAAATGGGTTTGGAGAATTTGATGTTATCTCTAAGTAACACCCTCTACATGTGGATGATAGTGTTTCCTCATACATCACTTGTTTGCTTGATATTTATGGGAAAAGCTACATGTTTAATACCTTTAGGAGTGAAAGGCTTAAGATGATTTGTCCCTTTAAAACTAGACAGTCAGCTAACCTCTGCACACCATTTCCATTGAAAGGGCGATGAAGTAAATTCCCAAAGAGACATATCAAGCTCACATAGTCATCTATGGCCAACAGCAATCACAAAGTAAGTTGATCTAACTAAAGTAATTTTACTGTCCAGGGTCCGAAATAAACTTTTTTTTTTAATTGAGCACCCTTTTTGTTCCAGTTGACAGAGGGAAAAGTTTGGTGCAATGTTTTCCTTACATTGAAATATGCGCCACTTGTATCAAATGATTTAAAGGCTTCATGTATTTTTTGTTTTACAGCCCTGGTAATGTAAATTTTGATCACATTGGCTTGGCCTTGTCAGGTGTGGTCCACCATGCCCTCTCTGTACAACATCATAATGTTTCATGGCTCCAAACCCTTGGAGATATCTACTTGGGTAAGTTTTGGCTGTAAAATGTACCTAGAAGTTGGATCTTGCTTCACAAGTCCAACATGTATGGGAAGTTTGTATGGCTCTCAGCCACTTCATGTTATCATTGTTGTTAAGAAGGACCAATAGCTACTTACACAAGAATTCAGTTGGTGTGTTAAGTTTTTAAGATAGAAGTGTTTTAATGGTGCTTTGATTCATACTAATCTTAATCTTGAGATAGCAATTGCCAATCTCTTATAGTTAATTCTAGTTTACATGTGGTTAGCATGGATCTGAGTTTTAAATATTGATCATGAAGTGTGACCATCTGGTTGAAGGTTAAAGAGGACTGTCACTGACAACATTCCTTCATTGGAATACCATCACCTGGATGTTAACTCTATTGAACAAATCTAACTTTTGGATTAAAACCATTTACTATGAAAACATTTCTTTAATTTACAATTTTTCCCTTTCTCTAGATTCTGGGAACTATTCATCAGCCTTGCGGTGTTATCTTGAAGCTGGTGCTGTGTCATCTCTTTTTTTTAATTCGCCAGTTCCATCATCTGTCTGGGATGATCAGGTAGAGATTGGCATGTATAAAAAATAGCAGAACACATGTTGCTTCCTCTCTTCTCATTTCAAATACAGCTGTAACTGCTGGAATTTGGAACTGCTAGCTAGTATGTTGGTGATGATGATGATAATGATGATAAGGGTGGTGATTGTGATGATGACGATGATGATGATGATTATGGTGCCCACCTTTGCATCACCCCTTTCTGATAGACAGAATATATTTTTGGCTCTAGTAGAGTGTAAACTTCAAACACGAGAGACAATTTTTGTGAAAATCACCTACAGTTGGCTCTATAGATCTAACTTTTGTACCTCATCAGGGTTTGGACTCACTTTTTCAACTCCTCTGTTAACTTTGTTTGTTTTGCTAGGTTTACAGAAAAATGGTGACATGTTGTTCAGCAATGAAAGCTCATGTTCAGGTAAAGGATGAGGAGGTTCTTAGCTATTAAAGAGGTTAAACATTGTGAATGGCCATCCACTCTTGAGAGAATGTGTACATTACTGTAAATGATAATTTTTGTTTTATTATTTTGTTCTTATTTAAAACAAAGAGTCACAGAAAAGTGAGCAAAATTACAATTTTTTTTTGACTCACATAGTCTTGAATCTTTACCATGTACTTTTGTTGGAGGATGTTGAACTTTAACTTGATGAACAAGTCAGTTCCACTATTTCAAACAATGACCCGATGACTTAGTCATTTACATAACTGTTACAGTAACTGGTACTGAACATAAATTAATTTGTTATGAAAACAGGCAGCATTACTCTGTCAGTGTATGGAGGTTAAAGATTATACAACAGCTTTTAAGGCTCTTCAGCAGGCCTGTTCATCAAGGTAATATATGACTTTGATGTCAGCTTCTGATACTGTGTTGCTATTTTATGGAGGGATGACTTTGTTCTTAATACACAATTGTCTTTGAGCCAATGGGCCACCAACAGAGTCCTCTTCATTTCCTGTAAGACTTAATGCAACCTCTTTTCATTTCATTCTGTTTTGTGCTGCTCATTGTGCCTCACCCCTGTGATTTTTTCCTCACTGAGCCCAGCTCGGACAAAAAGTGTTTTTTTGGCAAACCAACTTTCCTTTTACTAGGGGATGTCCAACTCAGGGCAACCTTAGGTATACAAGCCAGATCCATTTTCACCATGTGGCCCAGCTATCTGATTCATCTGCATTTAGGTGCACATGGTCATTGACACTTTGTACATATGACAGAATTGATGCCAACTCATTATGAAAGGTGAATTTTTCCCATCTGACCTTTCCTGCTTATGTCTGCCTTAATGTCTAATTTGAACAATACTTTTATCTTGCCAGTTCTGATGCCATGGACTTCTACTACACTTTCTTCTGGGACATAACCATGTTAGAATATTTAACTTGTATCCTTCAAAGCAAATTGAAAAAAGTGCTTAGCAGGCATTAAATTAAAAAAAACTAGAATGTATAAACAGTTAGATAAATAAAGTAAGAACTTAAGGAATAGAAATCGGTAGTGGCACATCTGATGAGAGGTTCCTTGTCCACTGACTCTAGGTCACATAAAAATTGGGAATGCTGTCTTCTGAGGGAGAAATACTAGAGAAATTGAAGGATATTTCATGAAACAGAGACAAGAGCCAACTGACCTAACCAACAAGTGATGTGCTATATTTGCTCCTTTGAGAAAATTACATTTAGGTGATGTATAGTCATACAATGAAAAAGTGTAGTGTGACAAAATGTGTAAGGCTTTGAGGTATGCAAGGAACATGTAGGCTTCAGAAGTTTCTGCTTTATATTGTTAGTTTGAGTATATAATTTTTGAAAGTTCTTTAACTTGGATGAGACACCCATGCTAAGCGTGGACAACAGGACAAGAAATTGCTTACAGTGAGTTTCTATAGTGTAATATTTTCTTTTAAAGTTTTGAGGTTTCAGGAATTGCAATACTGTAGGGTGGAAATTGCATTGCAAATCTCACATGGAACCATCTTCTTTGTTCTCACCTCCCTGCATGCATCTTGGCTATGTTTTATGTCAATTCAACCTGGCATGCAGTTCTGATAACCCTTAACTTAAAAATGATGCAAACCTTTACACTGAGATTCATTGCTTGACTTTTTTCTAGATTCAAGCCATCAGTCAACCTGACTTGAACATGTTCAACACATCTGAACTTCTCCAACATACAGAACAAAGTAGAAAAGCCAAGTTGCTCAGAACTTTTGCTAAACAGTACCTCTAGCATGAATTAATACTGTCCATAATTTCTCATGACATCAGTAAATTGTGTGTTGTGTAAATAAAAGCCAACTGGAAAACCTTAGATGTGTATGTGCAGTTGATTTTGTTGTTGGAAAAATTGTTTTGCATCCAAAATGGCATGTTGTGATAACTTCAGAGTCTACACCTCTCAGCTGGCTTTGACTTCTTGCACATGAAGTGCCTTTGAATTTCTTCCCCGACTCTCATATTCTCAAGACATGATAATCACAGTTTTCACTGTGTTCTCTAATGAGGAACTCACTTCTCTGTAGGAGAGTATTTTCATTTAATGAGAGGACTGACGGATATATTTGCTCCAAGGGTACCTAAGGTGCGGGTAAACGTCCTCTTTTTCAAGGTTCAGATGCAAACAAGTTCTTAAAGATTGTAACTTTTGGGATAAAAATCCTTCTGCATAGGTCCAAAGGCATGGAATAAACAAAACAAGTTCTCTCAATAGTAAATGAATGTAAATTATTTGTCTTTCTGTTTGTGCATATTGTGTGGCAAAACTAAGAAACAGTCAAAGAAGACTAGCAAAAAGGCAGAGGAAAATAACTCAAAGGTTGTAATCCACATTTCAAAATATTTATTTACCCTGCCACCTGCATTTTCAACATTAAATAATGCATCTACTAATTCTCTAGTGAGGTGACTAATCATGTATTCCACTGTCATCAGTGAATCATTAATTCCCCTGAGGTGAATAAAAAGAATGCCTCATCAGTATGACTGATGCAAGATATGTGTTGTCAGTGAAAATGTAATCTTTGCAGACTTATGTTGTCACTCAAGACAGAGTGAAATGAAAGCCTGAAAGCAAAAGTCAGGTTTTTTTTCAAAGCTTAGAAATGCACTAAGCCTGTGGATCGTTATCATCAACAGGTCCAATATGAAATATTTTATATATTAATTGCTACGTGCACATTTTTTGTCACAGACAATAAATATTGTTAAACATTATATTACATCTTAATAATTTTAAATATTATCAAGCCATTGCCAATCCTGGGAAATATACTGCCAAAACTGAAATGCTATGTGAAAGTAAAGTAAGCTCTGACATTTTAAAGAAATTGCATCATGATCTGCGATCACTAAAAAGATGAAAGATCCTGTATTCTTGGCCAACAATACAGGTCACCTTTAACAAAAACTGTACACACTCAAGTTGCCTTCCCTTTTTTGTAAGATCTAGATCTGAAAAAGAATTTCAGAAGAACATAAATCCTGTAATTTGTATCTGTGATAATTACTTACACTACAAATGATTCACTAATTACTTATTACTGTTTTTTTTCAATAAGTCATTAACAGTACATATCAATTGCCAGAGGTCTTGCCATGCTACTACGTTGACTGCAGCAAACAAGACAATTTGTGTGAAGTGCTTTAGAACTGCAGACTTTGCATGTTACTGAAAAGAGAAATTACGCTACATTTTACAATTAATGCTTTGAACCCAGGAGTAACATTTGAATGTGTGGTCTGATCTTCTGGGCAATGATAGTCTTAAGAAGGACTATTGTCAGATTTAGTGACTGACATTTGTTGAATAAAAGCTGGTTACTTAAACAAAGTTAAGAACCGTTGTTTAACAAAACTGAGTTATTAGACCGAACCTTTTATCTGAGCATGTATTTTTGTGAATGGTGTCAAGACTGAAGGCTACAAGTGGAACAACATTTATTTAATAATTAACTCAGCCCTCTTATAGAGAATCCCTTAGGCCCACTGCTTACATAAAAACCATGGTATGGGTTGGACCTCATATGAATAACCAGCCCAATAGTCCTGAATAAATCATTTGCATTGTGCAGGTAGTTGTCAACATCTGTTGAGTGGCTGGTGTGTCAACTTAAAACAAAACCCCCTTAACAGATGTCAACAACATTCAATTGAAAACATCTCCCTTCTTGACTCTGATAATGACTTCTGATACAGAAGTTGAAACATCAGCCACTTCTAATGACAACAGTCCTTCTCAGAACTTCTTTCACCCAGACAATCAGACTACACAATCTAAGCAACACTTTGAACATTATGTGGATCACTTGACTTTTTCGAATCTTTTAACAGCAAGTTCTCGCAGTGTTAAAGTATCTTCAACCTCCACTCCATTCATTATTTGAACTTCACTTAATTGTCTCTCTATGGTTTTTGTGTTCATGTCCAACTTCCTTCCTAATTTTGCCACTGTGTCCAGCAAGGGGATCATGTAAGGGCTTAGATAATCATCATGGTTCAAGTCTAGTGCTGCTTTTGCATAGCGTTCAGCATCTTTCAGTTTACCTAGAGCCTCAAGTACAGCAACAATTGCCCCAAAAGTAGCAACAGTCTCTCCCACTTTATCACACAGCTTAACTTGAAGATGAACACTGTTTAACAGCAACTCAAGGCAATTTTCAAATTCACCTGCCTTAAGACTGTCTGTTGCCTCTCTCAATCCTGGCAGGTAAAAGAATTCTTTGAAAGCTTGTTGTTGCCGTACTTCCTTGTGTTTGAAAATAATCTGTAGGAAATCTTGAAGAGCCATGCGCCTGGATTCAATTAATTCAGGGTTGAGATTATTCTTTTGTCCCATCACTTTTCCAGGAAAATTGACACCAATGTCTTTGAACAGAGAGGAGAGGTCTTTCCTGAGTGTTTTGTAAAGAGTAGCAAAGTCAGAGTATCGTCTTTCTACCATGACTTTGTCTCTGTCTATGCCCAAATCCTGTCTCAAAACCATCACACAATAAATCTGCAGGGGGAATTCAATATATGTTAAGAGGCTTGGACAATTGTAAATTTTAATTTTTGTTTCAGTAATTTGGATATTTTCTTAAATTTCCCTATACAAAACAGTTCTCTGTATCCTTCCAAGTACTCAAATTCTGCCCAAAACTTGAGGCCCTGTTCAGCTGGTAGGTATTATGAGAATATAAAGAAAATCACTACATCAGATCAGTACTCGCCCTGATGTAATACCACATTCTAAGGAATAAAGAACCAAAAAATCAGCAATTGCCAGTTGTGAGAATACACAATGAGATCTTAAAAGTTAACCCCTTTAACCCCTAAGCATGATAAGTATCGAATTTCTTACAACAGTTTCAGCCCTGAATCACACATTAAGGTCACAAGAATAAAGGAAATGATTGCAAAGTCAAGAAGCTCTTGATTATTACAAAAATTTTCCTTGTAAGTACCACAAGAGATATATAGAGAACAGTAAGGAGACCTTGCAAACTGACTTTGGGGTGTAGAGCATTACAGAGTAACGGGTATGACCTCAAAGTGATTACATACTATATTTATTGTTCAAAGCCAATCATTTTTCACAAAGTGCCTGCTATGTTTTAATAAAATACTTTTCCTCATTTACTTTTCCACAAAAAAAAAATAAAACAAACAAACAACAACAGTAAATCAAAATAATCCTTACCACATGCTTGTTTTCATCATGTATCCTGGTGTTAACTATCTGAAATGTTGTATTTTGTGGATCGCTCTCAACCAATATTCCATGATCTCCACAAGTGCTATCTGGAACATCAAGATCATCAACTTCCTCTGGGTCTGAGTCAACATAAACAATACCCTTTGCTAAAGAAAAAAAGAAACAAGCGAACTTAAAAAAAGGAAATATTCTTTAATGAAGTTTTCTAAGTAGTTCCTAAATGCTGCATTTTTATAATGCAAGGTAAAAATGAAATCAGTTGACGATAAAACGAACTTTGGTTTCCGCACAGCCCCATACTACATTATGCATTCAGTTCTTGGATAGAGAAAACAATGACAAAAACAATACATCGCCATTGGGAAAACAGATTTGTTTTACAATAGTATGGGGCTGTGCGAAAATTTTACCCGAACTTTGACTAAATTGCAGCGTCGGAAAATGAAATATCAAAACAGGCAGCAGCATCTGACTGTCATCTCACAATAAAATCAATATGTTCTTTAAGAAAAATTTTAATTTTAAGTAATCTTTTTCTCGAATTCATCGAATAAGAAATGTTCTAGCATAGCTGGAGACACAGCGGCGATATAAAAAGCGGCATCTTTCAGTTTCATTCATGTCTTCCAAGTCAAGCATCAGAAAAGAGACTAACCGATTTTAAAGGACACTCACTGTAATAAATAACACATCAACATAACCATTGTCTAGGCAATTAGTGACAGCTGTCTTCGTCTGGTTCAGCAAAAACACTAACTTGCTGAGACCATACCCCAGCATTTTAAAATCACTCTTCTTTTGGTTTCATCGGGTTCGAAATTGGTGTAAAACTTTGGTGATAACAACTCCTGAGATCAAGAATAAATTGGTAGCAATTTCAAAGCACCTGATTTGTAATTTCTACTCAAATCCCTCACCTGCAAGGTTGGACATAGAACCAACTGGATAATTAAAGAGCCTTCCATTGAAAGAAAGGCTGTCTGGTGACGAATGCCCTGGGTCATCTGAGCTAATTTCTGTCTCGTCAAAATACCAAGACGAACCCATTACATCGCACTTCTCTAGGAAATTACATCGAGTCGGTAAAAATAACGCGTGGCTATCGCACAAGTTTATTCAAATAATTAGTTGATACGAATAGACTTATGGGACAGGTTCCCAAACTCACTTTGATTGGACAGGACACGAGATCGCGACGTCCTAATTAAAATCTTAGGATGAGAGGACTTGAAAATAACCTTGGAACCAATAATGTAAATTATTTGATTTTAACTTTCTATGACAGGATCAATGACGATCCAGCGCGAAGGGAAAATAATCCCTTTTGTTACTTAAGCTGCTGTTTAGTCTTGTCACGAAATACGTTATTTCCCCCATCGGAGATAAAGCGCGTTGCGTGACAGGACTGAACGATCAGTGGAAGGAAACAAGAGACAGAGGACTTTCGGAAGATAACCACAGGGGCACGGAAGACAGCACTCGGCTTGACAACTAAATACTTATAGATCCAGTATTTTCTTAACCGAGATAATCCGAGATATAGTATTATTGGTGCATTTACCATAAATTAATATTTGTCAGAATTAGTCAGCGAGACCATTTCTAAAAGAGATGTTACTTATAAATTCAACCTGTCAAATTCCTTTAAAAATGAATGGAAATTATTTTTTAATATTTGGGCGACTCAGTCCTGACTACTGATGACCACTGTGGTGAGGGGGGGAGGGGGAGTGGGAGGTGGTGGTAACCAAAATCACGTTTTTCAGTCCTAACATTGTTGGTGATACATGTTGACAACTATACTACCAATGCCCCTGTGCAGGCACATGTTTGGTGCAAACTTTGCAACCACTTGCTGCAACCATAAAATAAAATTTCAACCAGCAGGTTGAAAGGCAATAGAGTGGAGTAAGAAAAAGAACTGTAATGGAAATTTTTTTTGCCCAGTAACAAAAGAAAGTAGCATTGGCCAGGTTTGCAACTGGGACTTTTGATTCAGAATCCAAATACACCATCTATATTGGGCAGCTGTGCCTCCTTGATGGAAAGTGAGAAGAGCTTAAAAAAATGGCACATAAGTTGGGTTTTTCTGACTGATCTACTCATTTATTTAGAAAAATAAAGTTTTATTTCTTTATCACCATTTATATATTAATCTAAATGGGATAAATAATAGGAAATAAAACTAATAACTATAAGGAGTACTATTTATGTACAGTTAACAAAATACATGTAATTTTATACACTAATTACAAAGGTTTGCTAGTGAAACAACAACTTATCTACCCAAAGAACAGATGTCATGTCACATTCTGAAACATGCCAAGAGTCAGAGTATTTAAATAAAATTTGGTGTTGACAGTTGTGCAAGCTTAGTAATATATAAAAAAATTCAGAAATGACATACAAACTGAGAACATTACTTTACTTACAATTCTTGAATAGCACATCTGTTATGGGTTGGAAAGCATAGTTATTTCAACTTTGAATTTTATTTACCTCCCAAAAGAGCCTGCTAATGAGACACATCATATTTTTTCTTACAGTTCTACCATGCCTATACATTAATCAAAATTAATTGGCTGCATTTGCTTCATCTTCTCTAGAAAATTTAGTTTAGGTTTTAGCTTAGTACTGTTTTATTTATTTATTATTTTAGGTTTAAGCTTAGTACTGTGCCTGGCTTTAAAACATTGCCTGATCATTTGCACTCTGTAATAACTAACTTAAAGGCATTTCATGACTTAATTAAATGTTTTAAGTTGGGATGCCACTGAATTATCTCCTATAATTTTGCCGAGAAATTTGATTTTCGAAAGATTCTTAGATTGCTCCTAATGACTAACCTTCAACACATGCTATGATTGAGGATGTCATCTAAATTTCATCTATTTATAAAAACATGATTTTAAGAAAAATGGATAAGTTGTTCTGTTACAAATTCATAGAAACAGGAAGGACATTAAAAGACAGGAATGCAGGAAATGTTTCTCAATTTCTCATACGTCAACAATGTCAGAGGTTTTTCAATTCAGTTATGTGTAGTCTAACTTGTGAATTCCACATTCCCTTACTGATGAACTTGACTGCATGCCTTCACAACTTTGCTCATTAATAAACGACAGAATGTTCAAATCTGAAAAAAAAGAACAAACTTATCCTGACAATGATTGGAAACAAGCACCCTGGGGACTAATTCATGTGGAATGCCCTCTTCCTGTCCATGTACTACAATTTGAAACTCTCCTTCAAATAGAAACATTTCACATGCTAAACCTTGTAACAGCAAGCTCTCGCAAAGTGAAAGCACAATCGACATCAATCCCACTTGTTCTTTGAACGTGTGCCAAATGTCTCTCTATTGTGCTCTTGTCTTTTTTTAGTTTCCATCTAAGTCTGGCTGTTGTATCCAAAAGTGGAATGAGATAAGAACAGTAATGATCTTCATCAATTAATTCAAGAGCAGCTGTTGCATAACGATCAGCTTCTTCAAATTTACTTTGAGCCTCATGTATGACAACAATTGCTGCCAAAGTAGCAATGATCTCTCTCACTTGATCACACAACTTGACTTGAAGATGCAGACTGTTCAGCAAAAGCTTTAGACTATGCTTCAATTCACCACCTTTCAAGTGTTCTGTCGCCTCGCAGAGTTCTGGCAAATAGAAAAATTTCCTATAAGCTGGATGATGAAGGACCTCCTTATGAGTGTGTACCTTTTGAAGGAAAGACTCAAAAGCACAGCGTCTGGCCTCTATAACTTCAGGGTTCAAATTACTTTTCTGACCAAAAACTTTTCCAGGAAAGTTTACACCTTCAAGTAATTTGGAATGGTCTTTCTTGAGAGCTTTATAAAGAGCTGCAAAGTCTGAGTAACGTCGGTCTATTAAAGCTTTGTCTGTGTCAACACCTTCAGTTTTGAGGACCATGAGGGTGTAAAACTAAAAAAAAAATAAATAAATACAGTAAAAAATCAGAAGACTAATTTCTTGAACTTATGCATTTATCGCTTATAGAAAAAATGCATATGTAACTGAATACACAAACACAAAAACAACAGCAATTTTACTTGTATGTAAGATGCAAAAATAGTTAGTGGATTGAATATACTGTACAGGACCTACAACAGCATCGAAAAGCATTCAAGAAGTGGCATTTATACAGAGCAAAGCTGTAATAAACCTACAGAAATTCAAAATTAATAACTCTATTCAATTTACTGACCACATGCTGCTTCCGTTGATTTTCATTTATCCTGGTTGAAATGATGTCAAACTTGATATTTTGTGGATCTGTATTAACTGACATTCCGTAACCTCTACAAATACTATCATCAATATGATCATCCCCATCACAATCAGTACTCTTATCTTCTGGCACAAACACAATGCCTCTCCCTAATAAACAATCAAACACATCTGAAAAAACGATGACCAGTTGACAAACTGACAAACTTTGGTTCAAGGGGTAAATGGGAACTGATATTTAGCAAAGGGGGGGGGGGGGAAAGGGGTGCAAAATGGAAGATTGAGAGTTGTAGCAGAGGCTCCCTACCATCCCCTCCCCCTCCCCCATCCCTACCCATTCATCTTTCTCACTCTTTCTCCACCTGCACCCTCTTTCCCCTGGAGAGCTTGTTCCCAAGCTCAAAAGTGAACTGCAAAAGATCAAATCCAATGGTGCAAGAGGCAGTGCGCAATAATGCACTTAATGTGGAACAAAGAAATTAGAGTGACAAGTCGAAAAAATATTGGGGAAGAATAAAAAAAATATATTGGTCACCAAGAACCAAACATAAATGCAAAGTTCCACAACTTAGAAAAAAAAAAGCCATAATTTAATAAACACTGATACAGAAGTATTTATGGAAGCAGCTGTCCTTGAAGGGATTAGTTTGTGGTGTGTTCATCATAAATGTGACATTGGTGGATCAAGTTTATAAGTACTTGTCAAACAGCACATGTTACAATAAAATTCCTTGACATGCAAGAAGAAAATTGCCCAATCGATAGCGAGAAAACACATGAGTTCTGTTAGATGTGTGGGGGGGGGGAGCAAAACATTTACCAGAGAAAAATAATTTGAGTATAAATGAGAGGGTGGTGAGATAACGAGGCAAAAAGGTCATCTGAGACGTGTTCACTCCCTCACGGAGGTTCTCTATCAAACTTTCTGGCGTGCTTAACATAAACGAGTTGATCTCGTGCTAAGAACGCACCAACATATTCTTTGAATCATATCGAGAAAGATGGTACGTGTGTTTTATTTAAGGATCTTTAACGATTTGGGGATTAGTTCAATATAGACCACCCGATATGTTACCAAGGGGTAAAGGTATGTGACAACAGGAAAGACTTTACGCAGTTGAAAGTTTCTTCTTTCCGCTTTGACTGATGCTAGTGAAGACATTAACCGATGCAACTGTTGAAAATTATATTTTAACAACAAGATTTGATTTAAATTTAAAGTGTGTCCGACGAAGAAAGTTGTAATTATCAGCGAAAAAACATGATCGTTGTACGTATACAATATAAACATTGGGCACAAATTAATAGTTTACCTCCCGTTTCGAGCACTGGGAAAACATTAGGACTGCCTGATATGACGAGTCGCCCGTTGAAAGACATTGTTCCTGTTGGGAAATCATCGTCCTCTAAATCAAAATCGTCTGCATCACTATTGAAAGTCTCAAAGAAACCAGAGGACTCCAGAGATGACTGCATGTTGGCTGTAGACAGACAGACCGACACAGACACGCCGCGCGTCGAAGTATTCCGTGGGATAAAAGCGGTATGCAAAGGCTGTTGGGAAGACTTAATTTCGGATAGGCGTGGGCTCAGCCGGGGTTGTGCCTAAATCCTACCGGCCACCGGCTAGAGGTACGCTCGCGCTCGAGGAGCACTAGTGACGGGTTTCCGAGTCGGATGGTTATCGGAAATTGTCGGCTATTGGAATATAGCGGACTATTCCAGTAACCACCGTTTGCGATTTACCAAAAGTCAAGCGACGTGATTGAACCAGACATGGACATTATAACATGCTTTACATGTGAAGAATACATTGTTGAGTTTAAATCAAGGAGATTTCGCTAAATTTTGTATGGCTGTTTCCTTCACCCACGTCGAACTTAAGTTTCTTGTTCAGAAGAGTTTTAGCTAAACACTGCAGCCGCTAAGACCTACGCTTGCCAAAGTAAAAAAAACTTATGAAGAGTATCGCCACTTCAATGCCCTTGTCATGATGCTATTGGTTAGAAAGATCCCCAAGATGAAACTTCTATTGTCTTGTCTTTTGTTGTTGTACCTCTAGCCGGTAGGATCTCAGGAGGCTTAGAAAATGCTACCGGCTAGAGGTACAGCTTGCATATTTAGTCGACTTTGCCCAATTGTTACCACGGTTTGCTTCACATTTTACTTTTTCTGCTCTCCCAATTAGTCTTAGGTCTTAGCGGCTACAGCGTTAAGCTTAAACTCTTCTAAACAAGAAACTAAAGATCAACGAGGGTGTAGGAAACAGCCATACAAGATTTAGCAAAATCTCCTTGATTTAAACTCAACAATGTATTCTTCACATATAAAGCATGTTATAACATTCACGTCTGGTTCAATCACGTCGCTTTATTGTTGGTATTTACTGGAATAGTCCGCCATATTGCAATTGTCGACAATTTCCGATAAACATCCGATTCGGCAACTCGTCACACTGCTCCTCGAACGTACCTCTAGCCGGTAGGATTTAGGCACGACCCTCAGCCGGACTTACTGTCCCCTGCAAACCAAGACAGGTGCTACCTGTCTAGTAGGCGTCCGCTTTCTTTCCTTCCTTACACTAATTGACCTAATGAGTATACTGTAGTAGATTTATGGTAGATAAAAAAAAAGTCACTTTTATTGCAAACGATGTTTTCTGTATCCATGTGCTTTGTTCACAGGCGTATCAGCCCTTTAAATCCCCCTAGATACAGATTGGCGTCTCGCGCGGCTAAAACGGAACGCTGTGTCTGCTGAGAGTGTCCCAGCTCCTGGAAGTAAATTTCATGAAGTAAGGTGCTTCCCTCTAATTAACTTTATTTGCAAAGAGCTCACCTGTACTAAGAGGCCAGCCACCTGAGGTTAAAACATCTCCAGAATGCTGAGTAACTCCGAAGACATCGTCATTCACCCGTAGAACTTGGAAAGACAGTTAAGATTTCTAAAACATGACAAAAGAAGAAAAACTACAACAAATCAATAATTAAATATTCCAAGGGAACGAACTTCCCCACCCCTCCCCCCTTTTTTACTCTCGGACCGACCATTTTAGACACCAGACGGACGCTCTCACCGCTCTGGCCTAGCCAGGGCGCCTCTCTGGGGTGTGGTGCGAGGAACCAGCTGACATTTCTGACAAGGCGAAATTTATTTAACTGCCGAAGATTCTGAAGAACAACTTTCTCTTCATTACTATTATTATTTTTTTCTTTCTGCCTTACAGCAATGTAAGAGGTCATCATCATAATCGAGAGCTTGTTCAAAGGTCACATTAAGAAGAATATATCGTCTGTTGGGGCATTGTAACGGAAACGCTCCATGAGTAGATTATTTGCGTGAGTGGATAACTGAGGAAATTGAAATTCCCTGTAATGACTTATGATCCCCTCTTAGAAAATATTTCTTTCTGATTAGTACAATAAGTGTTTAATTTAAATATATGGCGACTCCGGATATCGCATACATTACAGCCCGTAGCTCGTTTGTAGCTAATTTTAAGCAAAATTGGCAGACCTCCGTTCTGCGCCATGGAATTATTAAATGCATATCTCAGCAAGTTTGCCCACTGTTGTATCTGTTACACAATGAAAGCATATTGTTTTCCGCAGCACTAACCCCTGACGTGGACATGGCATGTTCCAAAGTCTAGCAGGGGTGGCTTACTGGCAGCACGTTCAGGTCACGTGTATTTCCTGCTGTTTTTGCTTTCCATATTTGGGAATTGGAAGTAACGTCACCAACGTTGACAGAATGTCAACAAAAACATTGAGTTTTCCCAAACGAAGATTTTTTCTTGACATCTGCAAGGTTTGCTTTCCTACCAACGGCGTCATTTTTGTTGTAACATTCGAAGCTTCGACTAATTTCTTCGCAACAAATCTGTTTTGAATTATTTCGTCCGCGAAAGAGCGCTAATTTTTCCTGCAGAAGCTCAAATATTTGACCAGAAAACCGGCTCCTTCTTCGTTTACAAAATTTGCATCACACAGATCTCTCAAGAACCATAACGAATTTTGGCGGACTAGTCGTTTTTACACTTCAACTGCATTAAAACGGTAAGTGAACTCCTTTCGTAACTAGGAAAAGAAAATCTTGTAGGTTTCTAAGTTAAAGCGTTTCTTTTGAGAGCAATCTGAGTGTCAGCTGTGTTTTCCTTGTCCTAAATAATAGGAGTTGGTTTGGCGAAGTAAACTTGCATTTTCCGCCTTTTTCGCTTAGGAAAAGGTGACTTATCATTGCAAATTGGCCTTATTGCTGATCAAAGAAATTAACTCAGGATGTGGACCGCGATTTCAAGTTATATTTGGGGCGAAACAGACGAGCAACTTGTCCCGGGATCGGTCGACGACACCCAAAGCGTCGATGACGATTGGATTTTAGTGGACGTTCAAAAAGGCAAAAAATGTGGTGAGTGGAAACTTCTATGCCTAAATTATGTCTTTGAAATGTTATTTAAAGCGAAAATGGGCGAAAGATGCATCCATTTCTTCAGCAGATCTTGTATTTCAAAGAATACATTTTCACGCATTTCACTTTGCCGGTTATTGTTTTGAAGTCAAGATGTGTTCGTCACGACAATACTAAATTGGGTTGCGCCACTATGGTGACATCATATTTCCTTCTCCGTTATCTCTAAATTGGCATTACCCCAGAATCATCATCTCTCACTTTTATTCTCCACAGACGAGAAAGAAAACGATGATCCTAAGTTAAAAGCCCAAATCCAACTGGAGGAAAGTTGGTACGTTACTCCACCGCCTTGTTTTGAGGCGAGCGGGCTTTCCCCCGAAGTTTTGGAAGCAAGCCCGATGGAGGATCTTCTTATCGAACATCCCAGTATGTCTGTGTATGGTCCAGGTATAAGACGGCATTCTCCTTCACTTTCCTCAACATCCCGGAATTCTAGCACAGCTAGAAACGGAGAAGAGGTCGTGGAAAGGAGGGAACCGCGTCGTACTGTCCAATTTCAAGCGCAGCTCGAGTTAATTGAAAAGAGGCGACAAACCGAACCTCCGCTCCAAGGCAGCATTCGCGCCAACAGAAAGAACTTAAAAAAGCAAAATATGGTTCATTTTCAGAATAATTCTAGAAGCAAACGAAATAAAAAACGAAATAGGATGCTAGGAAAACACGTTGGACTACACGGCAAAAGGGGCTGTTGACCTTCGCTAGAATTTTAATATTCAAGAGCGACGCTTGTGGATTAGCGTGAGGGTCTAAAGTCCGTCGATTGTAAATATTTAAAACATTCCTATTTATATTCTTTCGGAGGGTATAGTTTGCTTCCCAGAGTAGGTTCATTATTTCCCTTGTGTATTGTATTCCTCGCTATGAGGAAGATATTAATATAATTTGATCCTGGAAACATAAACTGGGCTCAAATTTGTTAAATAGCTCGCGGAGATCGCACTTCCAGCTATGTAATTTATGTATCATTCTTAGGTAGTACGGATCGACGAGAGTATGGTTGGCATTATTTTATTTTTCTTATGACGAAAACGAAAAAAAAATCGATATAATTTTGAAAATTTGAAACAAGAAATACAATTTCACTAAATTTCATACATTATATGGTCTGATATTACCGTCTTGAGTATAACCTTGAGATTGAAATAAACCAAATTTGAACTAAAGTTCACGTTGCTGACTTACGTAAATGATTACGTAATGTGATTACTGAGTGAGTGTAGCAGGTTAGCTAATGAACTCTCATCTCGCATGCAATTCTGGTAGCTAGGTTAAGCGTAGTGTCAAGTGGAATGCTGAACTTAGCCCGTAATTAATGATTCGATAGGGGGTTTTCTAGATGGAAGACAAATTATGCAAAACAAACAAACCAATGCGGTGCCAATGTTACATTAATGCTAGAATAATGAAATTAAGCGTCATAGTGCTGTTGTTGAAAAATCATACAAACATCGGAATGAGTGTGCTTTGCATTTTCCTTCCTCTAGTTAACTGAAGGCCTTTTCCTACATCTACAACATCTTAATTTTCCAATGCCTCAAGAAGAACAATAATAATTTTATCACCAACACAACTTTACCAGGGATGATTAAAAATTGTCTTGCAGATGCAGATTGAGTAAATTTCCATAATAAAAAAAAATAAAAAATTTCCACGAACAGGTGTTATCACTCGAATTCACTGTACAGAGTTGTGGGATTTTCTACTACACCAAAACTGGTAGATTGCAAACTTAGCTCCCACACAATCACTTCACTTAACCCTTAAATTCCCAGATCAAATTTGTCATTCTCCTCACTGTCAACCATACAATTCTTATACTGTTAGTTCAGAGAATTAAGAACTGGCTCAACTACTTTTCCCCAAATTGATATTTTACTTTATTCTCATCACTTATCTAGTTGATATTGTACTGATGTTGTGAGGAGAGATTTTGTTTTAGTCACTCATGGGATTTAAAGGTTTAAACTAAAAATAAACTTGATGATGAACATTTGCAAGGTTAAGTTCGTCTAAACTTAATAATGTGTAGTTGTATCAATCTTTACAGTTCAAAGTTGTCAAAAATATTTTGGGTAATTGGTTTGTAATACAAAGTACATCACCTGATACACTGCATCTCTGCTGAAACTTGAGCTACAAATATTTGCAACAGCTGGCACATTTTTTAGGGTAGATGGAAAAATGCATGTTTGCTGGTTTATTTTGACAACACTGACAGCTGGATAGAATTAAATTGTACAGATATTAATGTGCTAAAATCTACAGAGAAGTATAAATAAGGAATAAAGTATGACAACCTGCAAATTTCACATGGAACTGCCACCACAAAGGTAAACAATGTAGCCCTGACAACAACTGATTAAATACAAAAGAAATCAAACCATTCCTTACTGATAACTAAATACTTGAAAATTTCTATTTACAGAAGGAATAAACTTCTGCAACTCACAAGCATTAAGTATTGTCTATTCTGATGATTTATTGTCTCTCCCCTGGGGTAAGAAAGTAAAGTTGTTTACTAATTTAAATGGACCAGTTTGCCCATCATGTTTAGAAGGTATAGATAGTTAGTGACCAAAAACTCTCAATGAAATTAGTAATGAAGCTCTAGAAAAGAATTAAAATTACCCAAGAGGCAGCCATTGGATATCTATGGTTTACATTTTTTTTTGCTCCAAAGGTGAGGCAATTTTTCACTTTTTACATTCAACATCTCAAGTTTCTTGGCATCAAAATATTCCACTGTGGTTTTTCAGTTTTGAACATTTAGCTCACATTATATCATTTTTCAGTTTCTATAAATGGAAAAAGTATTTATCTGGTTTTTGTGGCTCACTTGTCTAGTGCCTAGGCATTACTTCATTTAAGTTTAGACTATTACTGTTTTCTTTCTTTCTTTCTTTCTTTTTCAAGCTTGAGCATTTTTTTTTGGTGTTAATACAAATCTTGACCTCTGTGTAAGGATTGTTACCACAATTACGACTTAAGGAAGACTGGTAATTCCAGAGGCACCTTACTGATGATACCTTTTCAAAGTTGTGAGCCTTAAACATTCTAGTTCCAGAAAGTGTAAGGCAAGAAAACATGACAATAATTGAAAACAAAAAATTGTCTTAGTTTGATAAAACAGGTTTCTTAGAATCTGAGATGGCAACAAACTATCGCAGACAACCATTTTAGTTTCTCTTTACACACTGAGGAGATAGTTATACCATTATAATCCTTGAATTAGTAGCTCTTTATATCACATGTAAATAAATAAATAAATAACACCCACCAAAAGTTACAATTTTGATTAATATATATTAATAATTTGTTATTGCTAAACTTATGAAAATGAGAAAATCAAAAAACAAATTGTTAACTAAATTTCTGTAATGGAGGAATTTTGAATTACAATTTAGGACTTTTGTTTCATGCTCATGTATTTTTAAATTTATATTTATAGCTTTTTTTTTCCAATGATCCTCTATATGTCTAAGATTTCTAAAGATTAATACAAAACTTGGAAAAAATTGTCAAAACTCTTACTAAATATCTTTGTAAGGTCTGCACTGGTTGTTAATAAGTACCAGTAAAAATTCCTTGTACAAGACATTTAAAGAATATAGCAGACAATTGGAGATTTTAAAAGATCTTAGAAACATTGTCATAAGCTGCTAAAATATTTTAAGGAATATTATTTCAATTTATCATCATTTTCTCATTCTCTCAATTTTAGCCATGAAGGCATGAACCTTTTTAAAACTCACTGGATTTGTCCAATGGCCATCCTCCTTGAAGTATGAACCAATGATCATTGCATTTGCACCAAGATATTGTTCTATGTTATTATCATCCACCCCAGAACCAATTAAAACAGGAATGTTCACTGATTCTTTGGCATACTGCATTTCTTTTAAGCTTGTGGCTTCACCTGTTGCTTTTCCTGTCAGTATCACTCCATCTGAGAGAAAAAACTCTGCTGCTTGAGCCACTTCCAGAATATCCACATCAGATGTTATAAAGTGGGAACTGAAATAAATAAATTTCTTAGCTTAATTAGAAATTTTGGTCATGAAACATGTTTTAGTAATTTACTCCTTTAACTCCTAGGAATGACAAGCTTCTAATTTCTCCTTCAATCAAATAAAAATAGAGGTCAGAAGAAGAAGCTCCTGATTGTTAATCAAATTCTCCCTTTTGCAACCACAAGGAATGTAGAGAAAACAGTGTGGAGAATATGAATGATAACAATAGGTTGTAAAGGGTTAAATGACCCAAATAAAAAATTACTTGCTCTATTGAGGCTCCAAGCATGACATACTTAGCTGAGTGCAAGTAAGTCATAGTTTGTGGTTACTAAATAGCTATAACATTAAAATGATGTTTTGGTTAGTAATTTTATTACTATAATTTATAAGTACTGTATAAATGAAAAGAAAAAAAGAAAAAAGCTCATTTTGGAATCCTAAGAATACAGTGCTATCACAATAAATTAGTTAGACAAGTAATAAAAAATACATTTATGAAATTACCTGTGCTTTTTCTTGATATCAGTGAAAACTAAAATCTTATCTGCCCCAATTTGTTTCCTGTACCTAAGCAGTTCACCAGCATCAGAATTCATTGTGCCTTCATCTGCAATGTGTGAAAAAACAAATCCTTCTGCGCGAATAAATTGCAGGTCCGCTGCTTTTGCTACAGCCAGTGCCTCCTTGTTTGCCCCAGCCAATATCTGAATACCACACGGTAAATTATTCACCACTCTTCGGACTTCACTGCAAACCACACTCATGGCTGCAACAATTTCTGGTCCAACATGTCGATTTAGATATGGAATATCATGCATGTTCTCCATCAAAATAGCATCCTGAAGAAAAATAATTTAAAGACAAGGGTCAAAACAGCAATTCTTGACCCCTACATTATCATTCAGTTTTTTATGTTAACAATGCATGTACTCATCCTCAGTTAAGTATAATACAGACAAATAAAAGTTAATTTGTTTGACTCAGGAATGAAGTGTCATCATTAATTATATGTAGTAAAACTTTTAAATGAGGATCACAATGCTTCAACCCTATACTACTGGTCCTTGTCAGCAATAATGTGTGAATGTCTATGTACTACTATTTTTCTGTATAGAATGATGATCAGCTATTAGAGGTGCATATGTTTGAAGTTCTTTTCAAGTTACTTCAAGTATCTTTTGTAGTCATTCATAATAGAGTTACTTGCCATTGTATGCTTTTGGTGGTGATTGCATATCCTTTTAACATTTATCTATCAGTTATCTACATGGTGGTATCCTTTATTTTCAGGGGTCAAAAATTAGTCCGCCAAACCCAGATTGGTCCCCTTTCGAGGGCTCAACCCAAGAGTTCCAACAAGTGTTCTGATTTCTTTTGTATCGAGGTTCTTCCTACGTGAAATGGAACTCACACTGATGAAAATAAAAATGTTTCTCATGGATGATCATCAACCCCTTAACCCCTAAGAGTGACTAACATCTAATTTCTCCTTACAAATAATGGCCCCAAATCACAAATTAAGATCACGAGAATAAAGGAAATGATCACCAACTAAAGAAGCTCTTGATTATTAAACAAATTCTCCTTGTCAGCACCTTAGGAAATGTATAGAGAACAGTATGGAGAATGTGTATACTAATTTTTGGGCGTAAAGGGTTAATAAAGCCATCACTGGAGATATTCATGATCAATTTTTCCACAAACAATACATTGCGAGATTATTTCATATATGTCAAGTGTATGAAGCCTGATATCACCTAAAGACTAAACTGTTCATGTTTAACACAAAACACATAGAAAATTTAAATTGAAAGAATCGATGCTGCAGCTTTAGTTTTGCTTCTGAAGTTTTGTGTAAACTGATTTGAAATTTAATGTATAAGTGATCAGATACTCTTACCACTCCAGCATTTTTATAGTTTGTTGCATCAGTGCGTGCCATATTTACTATTTCAGTCATAGATAGGTGATTCCTGGGTGTTCCTTAGCAGAAGAAGAAGATTCAAATACGTCAGGCGTTATTAACAAAATCAGCTACATTGTACTTTTGAAAAATAGGAAAGATTAAAGACATGTTTTGATCTGAAACAGGTTGGGGTTTGAATAACCAGGGGGTATATCCTTGTCTGACTCCCTTGGGGGTAGCCCCCTACTTTTCGAGTAGACTCGCTATATCTTGTTAGTTAGTGCTATCCATATGCTTTATTGAACCCCAGTAAGTCACAAAAGATTCTGGCGCTGAGGTAGATTGATCTTTACCCCGAAATAATTTAAAAAAAAACTAGCTGGTTTAGCCATGCAACTGAAACTGATTTTCCTTTGGCGAAATATCGACAAAATTAAAAGACTTCGGTAGTTAATTAACAATTGTTTAAGGCTTCCGGCTTACCGTTATATCAATATAGAGGTTAGATGCAGAAAAAATAGCAGCATATCTTTTTAGCGATTAATTTATAAAAAATTTAAATTCATATTTTCAACTCGATATAAACTTCTCATTTTATGCGCGACGTGATGGAGAATTAATTACTTAGAAAGAAAGCTGCAAAGCTAAGGAAGGCAGCTGTGTAGCTAGGCGAAAGTCAAGCGCAGGTTCTAATCGATAACAAACCTTATTTTCAGTTGATCAAAAAGTTACAGAGGAATGTTTGATTCAAGTTGATTACCTGGGAGTGCTTGCACGTGAATCATTCCGATGACTACTGCCGACTTGCGACCAAATACACGGGAGAATTTCGAGAGAGCGTTTGCAGCCATATTTTTCTATTTTCGACCAATTTGACTCAGCCTCGCTTTCCTTCTGAAGAACGGAAGTGTGAAGGGCAGTGAGGCTTCCGGTTGGGGGCAGGTGTAAAATATTCAAGTCAAAAACAATTCAAGGTACAAAATTAATTTTTTTCTTCTTCGCTTCCTTTATTGATAATCATAAAAATAGGCAACAGGAAAAAGATATGATAGTGTGAAAGTTAACGCTAAAACGCGGAAACACGAGGCAATTAGCTGGTTTACACCGGTAGTTCATGATAAACTTGTTATTTCATACACGCTCCAAAATTCAACTTAATTTTTGTTTGCTATTGATCCTTAGCTCATAGTTTGGAAACCGCTTGACAGATTAAAGCTTAATAAAGATCTGCAGGTGATATATTTGCTATTGATATCGTTAATGCTAAAACGCGGGAAAACGAGGCAAATGAGGAGTATTACAGCGGTAGTTCACGATAAACATACTATTTCTCTAACCTCAACCCGAACGACCCTGACCCTAAGCTGAATCCAATGCATTCCGCCAGAAAGACTTGATACTTCCAGCCCCAGCCAGGCGAGGTTCAAATTCCCCATCCGCACACGGGGTATGATGCAGCCTCGAATCCGGCGCATAACTATTACAAATTTTCATCGTCTTACTGTCAGTCCACTTTTTTCAGTATACTTTAAAGAGAGAATAGAAGAGGAAGGTCATTGCAATTCCCCAGCAATCCCCATAATTTTGCTTGATTCGCGATATGGCTGGCGGCAACTTCAGATTTGCGATCGATCGAGGTGGAACTTTTACAGACGTTTATTCCGAATGTCCTAACGGAGAAGTACGAGTGATGAAACTGCTGTCGGTGGATCCTGCATATCCTGATGCACCAAGAGAAGGAATTAGACGAATATTACAAGAGGTATTACGTATGTAACACTTCTCGGAAGCGTCAATTGTTTTTAATGGACTTCAGGTGATCTCTTATTGAGCCCCTTGTTAGTGTGGAATTTGGCCGTTCCATGTCTAGGTGACCATTCCAATTTGTGCCCACCACGCCTATGGGTTATCTTCGAGGGGTTAGGAGGAAACAAATATGCATTTCTAAGGGAACAGTTGAAAAAGCGTCTTCCTGTAGAGAGAGAAAAAAAATAATCGTCAAATTCAGACTTACTGATTTCACAACTGAATGTTTTGAAAACTGAGTTAGAAAGAACTTTTTGTTGAGACAGGGTTTAAGGTTAACGAGTAAATTTCAAAGTTATGGAATTGCTGTAAATTGTACGAGCATATACCCATTACCTCTTGACAGGTAACAGGAGTAAAGATGCCTGCAGATCAGCCTATTGATCCAAAGTACATTGAGTGGATAAGGATGGGGACCACAGTGGCTACAAATGCTCTGTTAGAACGAAAGGGAGAAAGAATGGCTCTGGTTATTACTGAAGGATTCCATGATTTGTTGCATATTGGCAATCAGACAAGACCATGCTTGTTTGATTTAGTAAGACTCATTTATTTATTTATTTATTTATTTATTTATTACACTTCTGTATAGTCCAATAACACAGCCACATCAGACTTCGGTGACTTTGATGTTGTTCTTAATTCTTCATAACACGACAATTCTCTGCCAGGAGTTCCCTCTCTTTAGCCTTCATGGGAATTTATTATGCTGCATTCATTTGGCTGCTGTGCATGATGGAAACATTAGAATCTTAAGAAACTGCTAAGCAGCATTGATAGAAAAGGGAAACCTGATTGTTGATTATCAACTACAGTTAGTCAGTAAGTGTGAATTTGAAAGAAAGCTGAAATTTGGAGTGTTGTATTAGGAAAAGGGCTAATTCTGAAGACATCAACTTCCTTTGATTTGCTGTCACTGCAGTTAATAATCCTTTGTCTAATTGTTTTGGTCAATAATTAATGAAGTACTACAATTAACATATTGTATCTAGTTCTTTTTTTTAATCATTCTTTCCTGGTAATATAAGGTTTTATCAATAATTAAAAGTAGTTTTCCACTTTTCCCAATGATCTAGCAGATCTATGAAGATCCAAAGTTCTATTACACCACTTGTTGTTTTGTATTATAAACAGAAAGCAACTTGTCCAGAGGTCTTGTATGATGATGTGATTGAAGCCAGAGAGAGAGTTGTTCTAGTGCAAGAGAAAAGTGAATTAGAACTGCAAGATGACAGCTTCATGGTTACTGGAGTTACTGGAGAAAAGGTGAAGAGGAGGAAGTTTGGGCTAAAGCTAAAATTGATAATAAATTGTTAATGATAATCAGGGTTTTAAGTTACTTAAATTTGCTGTGGGGAGGAAATGTTTATTTTTACCTGAGGACCAGTGGGCTCACATAATTGACATGTTGGAGTTAAGGCAGAGAGAGAGAGAGAGAAAGTGTGCATGTGTGTGATTTTGATTTAGGGCTGAGATGAATTTTTGCTTGTTTGTGACTAATTAAGAGACCTAGCTCTGAGTCAATAACAAAAAGTTTCTTTGTGAAATATTACAGTTAACAAAATTCAACTTGTTTTAATTTTTGTTTGCTATTGATCCTTAGCTCATAGTTTGGAAACCACTTGACAGATTGAAGCTCAAACAGGATTTGCAGGTGATATATTTACTATTGAGATTGCTTAACTATAAGTCCTGTGTAGTAATTCTTAGCTGCAGCATGAGCTATCCCTTCGCAAAATGGGATGGGGGGGGGGGGGGCAAAATCTGTGGGAGCATATCTTTGGATCAAAATAGGTTTTTGGAACTAAATGCTAAAGAATTTTGGGAACTAGATTTAGACCATAGAAATTTAAAGTTTTGCGCATAGAAACTGAATGATTGGTAGCCTTCCTTTTTATTCAGATCTGTTCTTTGTTTTTTTCCCCTAAATTTCATTATGTTAACTAAGATTTCCTGAAAATTCTGGAGGGAAGGGTTGGAATAAGCTGCTCCTTCTCCATAACTAGTATTACTAATAGCATTCTTTTTTTTTAACAAAAGAGGATTCTGGATAAAGGGATCAAGAGTCTGGCAGTAGCACTTTTACACTCATACATGTATGGTAATTTTTGTCTTTATTTGGCCTACCTTGTTTTCCTCCTTTCTATGTTCAATGATAATTAGTCACAAACAAGCAAAAAGTCATCTCAGCCCTAAATCAAAATCACACACATTGGCACATTGGTTATTTCACGTTGACGTAAATTTTGCAACCTAAGGTTTATAGATAAACAATATATTTCTGAACAACCATAATTCTGGTGTGACTTTACATGGAAATTGATGTACAGGTGTCCATATTTTCATTTTTCATTACTATAGAATTATATTTTCAATTGGATCCCTTCTGACAGTGACTGCAGATACAAAACACATGCCCCTCATAGTAAAAAATTCTAGCTGTAGTTCTCAAAGTCTCATATTTATAATTCCCTTTCCTTTATATTTGGCCAAGATGAATTAATGAATGGATTCACATTTTACCTTAGGAATACATGTGAAATGTTTGTACTGGCATTCAGGGGAACTTATCCATTGCATTTCTCATCATAACATTTAGCAGCTACTTATGATAAATATACATGCATAGAGTAAGAGTTTCTGTAACATCTTTGTGGACTTTTGGATTATTATACCTCAAGATATGACAGCCATGAGAGGGAAATTGGTGAAGTAGCCCTTGAAATGGGTTTTGATCAAGTATCATTGTCATCTGCTGTTATGCCAATGGTAAAAGTTGTTCCAAGAGGATACACAGGTATGTGAAACCGATACCATTCATTCATTTTTAAATCTGGAAGTAACCAAGCTAATAAGACAATATCATCAGTTCTTGAGCATGCAACAAAATAGTATAAAATGTGGTCAACCATGTCAGTTGTGATGCAGCTTGATTTACAAATAAACAATCTCTGCACATCAGTTAATTGGTTTGTTGTCATTTCCTGAACTGTTCTTTTTCAGCTTGTGCAGATGCTTACCTAACACCCTGTATCAAGAGATACGTAAATGGGTTTCTATCTGGTTTTAAGAGTGGAATTGAGGTAAAATCAAAATTCCATTTGGGTGGAAGGGTATAATGTATGTTCACTGGGTGTTTTATCCACATCAGATATGAGTTACTGGATAGAAATGGACCTGCTTTTCTGACTGTCAGTTTTTAATATATGAAGTTTGTTGTTTATCCCTTTTTCATCTATAGGAAAAAGTCTTGTTCATGCAGTCTAATGGTGGACTAACTCCTGTGTCAAAGTAAGACATTAAATAGAATATTATCCTTTTTTATCCTTTGACCCCTAAGAGTAACTAAAATCTTATTTCTCCTTATAATATTGCTCCTGAACCACACTTTAAGGTCACGAGAATAGACAAAATGATCACAAACTAAAGAGTTCTCAATTGTTAAACAAATTCTCCTTGCTAGCACCTTAAGAAATGCACTGAGACTATAGTATGGAGAATATGCACACTGATGTTAGGGTGTATAGGGTTGATAATGTGTTAAAAAGGGAGCATTTTGTAACAGTTAGGTACATATACCATGAAATGAAAGTCTTTAAAGTGTTAGGTTTCTAACTGTGTTGTTTTATCTGAATAAAGGTTTTCTGGTTCTCACGCTATTCTCTCTGGTCCAGCAGGAGGAGTGGTAAGTAACAGTAAATTTAATTTTTCATTAGTATTATGTAGTACTTAATCTCACCTTTGTAATCAATTCACTTAGCAAAGTTTACAATTAAATGATGTTGTCAGTAGTCATCATCATTATAACGCCTGCCCTTATCATTGTCTTCCCCTTGCTGACATCTTCCTGGTGAAGAACTTCTACTGTTTTATTGTAGGTTGGGTATGCTATGACAACATACTGTACAGAGACAAGACAACCTGTTGTTGGTTTTGACATGGGTGGTATGTGCAGATACTCAACAGATTAGCTGAAAAATCCAATCTTGGGTTACCAATATAACCAGTTAGATCATGGATGAATCACATAAGTCATCTAATAATCCCAATACAATGAAGTGGGTGTGTTAACCATTCAATAAATTTTCTAATTATATACTTGAGTCTGTAGATTCATACTCTGTTAATATGTAATGTAGGAACTTCAACAGATGTTTCTCGTTATGCTGGTCTGTATGAGCAAGTGTTTGAGACAACAACTGCAGGAATTACTATTCAGGCCCCTCAGGTACATTGCATTGGTAATTAAATGATTATCATTATGATAATTGTCTTTGCCAACTAATCTATATTCAACTTGTCTTTTTAGTTACTTTTTTCTAACTTATTTTTGTGTGAAAAAAGCTGTTCTTTCATTGGCAGCTAGATATCAACACTGTTGCAGCAGGAGGTGGATCTCGCTTGTTTTTCAGGGCGGGGCTATTTGTTGTTGGGCCTGAGTCTGCTGGTGCCCATCCAGGCCCTGTTTGTTATCGAAAAGGTAAAGAAATATTTAAAGTTATTATAATATTATAAATGAGAATTCCATGTGAATTCCAACATTTCCTAGGGGAGGGTTTTAGCAGATGTAGGAATCTGTTCTCATAGTTTCACGAATCATTCCATTAAATTTTCAACCATGCGTGGTGATTTATTTTTAAATTTCAATTGACAGGTGGGCTATTGGCTCTTACTGATGCAAACTTAGTTCTTGGACGTATACTTCCTGAGTGAGTTTGGTCTGATCATGATCACAGTTTGTAACAAATAAATTGTAGATAAAGACTGAATTGAACCACATCTCTTCCTCTGTAGTGGGAGCTGTGGGACTAAGAAAGGGAAGGCTTTAACCATGAAACCCCTAAGGGTGATTGACAACTTATTTTTAACTTATTCATGGTGACTAAACACAGTGTTAACTCTTTAACTCCTAGAAGTGATTGACATGTAACTTCTCCCTATTATATCCACACAGAATTTAGCAAACAGGTAATGAGAATACTCAAACTTATCAGGTAGAAGTTGTTATCTTGATCTAATACCAAATTCTTGTAACTGATTCAATGGGAAATGTGTAGCAGTAAGAGATGAGAATTAACAATCAAATCTTGGGAGTTAAAGGTTAACAATACTTTTCAGGTTCTTCCCTAAGATTTTTGGACAGGATGAGAACCTTCCATTAGACAAACAAGGGGCATTGGAGACTTTTCAGAGATTCACCTCGGAGGTTTCTTGTAGCTTGTTTAATCATTGTTGTTATTGAAGTAGGCACATTTATTCATGGTAAACCTTTGTTAACAGCCCATTAATCCCTCTCAAAGTTGACCATTGTAAAAATGTTGAATGTATTCTTTCATTAATCTTCAGATAAATGAATTCTTGGCCTCCCAAGGTGGTGACAGCCAGAATGTTCACCTTAGTGTTGAGGAAGTAGCTATGGGTTTCATTGCTGTTGCTAATGAGACCATGTGCCGACCTATCAGGGGTTTGACTCAAGGCAGAGGATACAACACTGCTGATCATGTCCTGGCCTGTTTTGGTGGAGCAGGAGGTCAACATGCATGCTCTATAGCTCAGTCATTGGGGATGTCAACAGTCTTCATTCATCGGTGATTTTAAAAAATTGATTTAAAAAATTAGTCCTAGAAAGAATTAACACATGAATGTTAGTTTTATATGTTTATGGGCAAGGCATAGTTTATAGTCTTAGAAATAAACTTTTGCATTGGCAGATTAGCAGGCAAAAACCTAAAATTACTATAATTATATAATAATATTCAAGGTTACAAGCAAGAGACTTTCCCAAACTGATGTTGCTACAAGTTATGAAATATCTTCTGACTAAGTGCAGACTGAGAATGAATTAATGTAACAGTTGTATATCTTGGTAGCTATTCAGGAATCCTTTCAGCATTTGGATTGGCTTTAGCAGATGTTGTTCATGAAGCTCAAGAGCCATGTTGCTGTGTTTATAACAAAGGTGAGCATAATTTTAGATAAATTTTTTAATTTGTAATTACAAATAATCTGAGATTGCCATGATCTTATCTTATTACATTCTGTCTTTGCTCTATAACATCAGGTGAACCTACAGACTCTTTACACTTGTATGACTGCCTATCATCATAAAATTTTTGTATGCATTGCCTAATGATAACATTTGTATTTACAGACCTGTTGGAGCTGTTTTGTTCTAATTATGTTTGTTGTAAAAAATTTTTAAGAATTTGTCAACACTTCTACAGACTGCTTATTTACACCTATCAGTGAACAAAACTTGCATTATTTTATCTTAAAACATTTGAGCAAAGCTGTTTGATCATTATCGGTCATATAACTAAAAGAAGGTACAATACTTTGCATCCATCCAGACTCATTCCAGTACTTAGAGGGAAGAATTGATTTCCTCATGCAGCAGTGTGCAGATGCGCTCAAACTGCAAGGGTTTGATGAGTAAGTTTCTTGAGAATTTGTTAGAGTTTAAAAAATGTATCAATTAGGAATCGAGGAAAGTATTATAAGGTAGTACATATGACGTAGAGTTGCAAAATATTTTTTTTTCATTTGCCAATAAGCATTATTTCTGCCAGTCTTTTTTTTACTAAAATACCTTTTTGACCTTTTTAAGCCAGACCCATTTGATCAAGGGTGGAATGGCTAGAAGGATCAGCAGGGATTTTAATGTCATAGTGCCCATTTTTCTTAAAAAAAAATTAATTTTAACCACCACTTGTTTAAATGTACTTAATATATTTTTTTCAGTGAACAGATATCTACAGAAATATTTCTGCACATGAGATACAATGGAACTGATTGTGCATTGATGTGCAATATCTCTCCTCGCCAAACAGAAGAGGTAATTCTGAAGTTTGCATGTTGCTCATTTTTTAATTTAATTCTAATAGCACATTGTTTTGGAAATTTCAGGTCTTCCTGCTGTTAACAGTTATCTCTGAATAGCTATTTTTAAAAATTTTTTTTTTTTGATACTAAATAGTCAGGGACAAGTTCTTGCTTCAACATTGCTGACTTTGGTAAAGTTTTCACAGAGAGGTAATTGCTGATCATTCAATATTGATATAATTTCTTATACATAAGCATTTACATTTTTTTAATGTTCTAAGTTCTCTGGTCGTTAGATGAAGTTTTAAGAATATTTGAAAGTGAATTACTTGATTGTAATTCAAGATATGTCTTGAAATTTTGGGGTTCCAGGCAACTCTTAACTGCTAAAGACCCAAGAACCTTCTTTATTGGTGAATGCCCAGTGAGGAGTTCTGAGATCCACCTTGTTCTTGACAAAAACTGTCACAATGCTTATGTGCAGGCTCATATTGAAATGAAGGAGAACTAGATACTCCAATAACTGAAAGAAATATTTTTGGGTATGAAACACTAAGCACTCACAAACATCTTAAAGATAGGCTGTTATGTGAATTAACTGTTGTAGTAATTAACAGGTATATGCAAGAGTTTGGCTTTACCATTCCTAAACGGGACATCATAGTCAATGATGTACGCGTAAGAGGCTGTGGGCATTCCAAAACATCAGTCACTCATCATCTTTCTCATTCAAGTGTTTTGCCACCAGTCAAAAAGGTAAGCAGGATGGTGCATCATGCTGTAGTATATACTTTATATTTTTTTCTCTTTTGCCCTCTTTAGACAGTGATTTAACTCTTTAAACCCTAACATCAGTGTGCATATTCTCCATACTGTTCATCATATTCTTCTTAAGGTGCTGACAAGGAGAATTTGTTTAACAATCAAGAGATTCTTTAGTTGGTGATCATTTCCTTTATTCTTGTGACCTTCAAGTGTGATTCAGGGGAGGTATTGCAGGAGATATTAGATTTTTATTTAAACTTGGCACCGTAATTTCCTGTTTAATTTTGATCCGTGAATTCTAACTCCAAACTGAAAAACTCAGCAGTTTAATCATTGCCTTCTTTATTTTTTTGTATATTGCATTTAACTTGGGAGAGTGAGAATGAAACGTCCAAAAGTATTTTGTATTTAGGGCAATTGGGTTTTATCAACTGAGTTGACAATATAAAGTGGCCACTGTGAAGAGTTTCAATGCCGAATTTTTGTTGAAGCTCTTCATCAGAGCAAACAGTAACTTAAGAAACTATATCCCTTTATTTTGTGTTTAAAATTTGCTTTTCTTGGAAGTGGTACAAAGTTACATTTGGATGCTGTCAGGAACAGATATTATTGTTACAGTACAGTGTTGACACTATCTGTTCTAGGTAAGACTATGATCTGATCTGTTATCATTTGAATCATTTTGTATCCAGGTAACTAAATGTTTCTTTGAGGGTGGCTACCTTGACACCAAAGTCTATTTCCTCAATGACCTTGCTGAAGGGCATGTCATTAAAGGACCATCCATCATCATAGATCAACACAGGTAAAGGCAACTCTGCAATGATAGGTCTGTTTCAATTAGTTTCTTATGGAGGGCTTTCTGCCAAAGGTGTTCCATAGCAATTAAAAGAGGATTCTGCACCAAGTGGCTCAAAGAACTTATAAAAAATGACAATATACTGTGACAAAGTAGATTTATGTGAAGGTAGGTCTTCAATGTCATTGACAATGTCACCATAACCATGAAAATAGAAATATGTTGTAGTGACAGGGCTGTAAATGGAAATGACTGTAGTAGAAAAATTCAAAGGGATCAGTGGAAGTGTCAATAACACCAAATCTTTCTGGTTCCTGGTCATCTCTCATTCATAATATACTGTCATTTTACAAGTGAAATGTAACCCTGTTTTACAAAAAAAATGATTTTTTTAAGATTTATTCATGATAAATAATGATACAAGTATCCCTGAAATCTATTCATCCGCCAATGCTTAAAGAAAAACAAATAGGATTCAATTTTTACATTGTACATTTTTGTGACAATTGTGTTTGCAGTACTATTCTTGTGGAACCACACTGTACAGCTTACATTACAAAGTCTGGAGATATCAGGATTGAGGTAATAGTTCTTTATCTATCAATTTTTTGTACTTTGAGTACAACTTTCCCATGGATGAATTTGCCCTTGAAAATAATTTTCTTTTATAACTTATTCAGTTTTTATGCTATTGAAATTAATTGGTTCATGTTTTCTAGATAGGAAAAAACAAAGGTAGAAAACAAGTCACTACAGAGCTGGATGCAATACAAGTAAGTAAACTGGAAACCCAACAAAGCGTACTGTACTCTCTCTGTTACCAAAAACATTTACTGTAGCTCTGGATTCAAATATTGTTTTAAGTATCCTTATTGACCTTTCCTTTAACTTTGCAGCTTTCCATCTTTTCCCATCGCTTCATGAGTATAACGGATCAAATGGGAAGGTAAATTCATGTAACTTATCAGATTCTGTATTATGAGGGATAATAACAAAAGTGATAATTGCGAGCTGTTATTAATGAATGATATATTTGAACATTTATAGGGTTCTTCAGAGGACTGCAATATCCACAAATATCAAGGTAAGAAGTATGACTCTGCAGGGGAGTATTTTGGCATACCATCAGTTGAAGACAAAGACATTCCTATTACATTGCATTGCTTCGACCAAGTGGGAAAACTTAGCTGTCAATTCCTATTTTTTAATTAGGCAGCTGTAGTTGCCTTCATTCTGTCTGCTATGCCTGAAAAACAGCTGACTGACACTTCTTGATTTCAAGCTACATTTTAGGAGCAGAATGTCACTCAATCCATTAATCTTTTGGTGACAACTGTAATGTAACTGACAGCTATTATTTTTATGGTCTTTATTATTTTTTGTATTTGATGCATACCCCATGTAACATATGATATGTTCTTTTCCCAGGAAAGGCTTGACTTTTCTTGTGCTATGTTTAGTCCAGCTGGTGATCTTGTTGCTAATGGTCCACATGTGCCAATGCATCTTGGATCAATGCAAGAAACTGTAAAATATCAGGTACATTACATAATCAATTATAGTATATTAAGGACTGAGTGCAGTTCAATTTGGTCTGTAATCATATGAGTGATTAAGAAATTCAGATGACCAGGAAGAAGGAGTCAGAAGTTGTTAATCATGAGTATGATTATGGACAGAATTAGAAGACATTTAGTCTTGTTACCAATTATTCAAAACTATGAAAAAATTTGAGAAAGAAACTAGACATTGGTTACAATTTTTCAGAAAAAAAAAAGAAACACGCAAAACAACTCGGCAAAATGCACAACAATAGCACATGCAAATAATGCGTACTGTAAAGGCATGACATGTCAGATGTCATATTACACTGTCCAATTACAAGCGCGAGAAGTACACTGTCCTGTTAGTGCACAAATCAGGCTGATGACAACCAGTCTTGTTTGAGAATTTTTTTTATAGTTTTGCCTGAAGAAATAATTTGCCAGCTACCTTGATTTTCTACCAAATCATAGATCAGAAGTCACCTTAAGACATCTTGTTGCAGATTGATCATTTAGGAGATAGTCTGAATGAAGGTGATGTAATACTTAGTAACCATCCAAGCGCTGGAGGAACACATCTCCCAGACCTCACAGTCATCACCCCAGTAAGTTTAATCCAGATTTAAGCTGTTGTCCAACCTTGAACAACCTTGGTTTAAGTTGCTTAATGGTAATTATTGTCTCTATTGTCTCCTACATTGAGTAGGAAATACTGGTACAACTGAAAAAATGTAGAGTTGAAAGGTAAAAAAATCACTTCATTTTAATTAATGATTAATTTCTATTGAACCCCTTGACTCGAAAGAGTGATGAGCATCCTATTTCTCCTCATAGTATCACAGCTGAATCAAATATCAAGGTCATGAGAACAAAGGAGTTGATTACTATCTAAAAGAGCTCTTGATTGTTAAACAAATTCTTCTTGTGTACATCATAGCTAATGTATAGAGAACAGTATGGATAATATGTATGCTAGTGTTAGGGTGTAAAGGGCTAATTTCTATTTAATACCTTGCAGACATAGTGAGGATGTATTTGATATGCTCGAGTTTTTTTTAAACTTATTTTAGATTTTTTATCCTGGCCAAAGTAAGCCAGTCTTTTTTGTCGCAAGTCGAGGTCATCATGCAGATGTTGGAGGAATAGCCCCTGGTAATTCATCTTTTTCTAAATTGAGAGAAGCAGTTATTTACCTTATAGAGAATAATTCACTTATCATACTCAAGACTGCACTTCATAAATTTATCACTCAAAATCTTAATTAAAGTTCCTGTTCAAAGTTAAGAGATGCTCTTTATACTGTCACTGCATAGAAGTTTATTTATTTTGTTTACATCCTTGATTTTCATTCAGAGGAAAAAGTTAGGTTAAGGTGACCAGTCATGTTACCTTTGGTTTGGGGATATTGAGCTGTCATCTGAATAGGTTCATGATGCACACTCTGTTAATTGGTGATATGAAAATTGGTACAAGTGAATCAAAGCATTCAGCTTTTACCTTACTTTTACATTCAGCAGTTACATTACTAACACTAATGATTGCTATGCTTGCAGTAAAATGTCCATTAAACTATAATTGTTAAAAGCTAAATTGAAATTTTACTCTCTGGTAGGTTCAATGCCCCCCCATTCCCATTCAGTCTTTGATGAGGGAGCTGTATTTATGTCATTTAAATTGGTGGAGAAAGGAATCTTTCAAGAAGAAGGTAATCATCTCATCTATGAGTGTCTTGAAGCAGCAATCCCATTGTTTTCTTGGAATTCCCTGTCCACAATTTATTTGATCATGACATGTAGTTTTTGTGATTGACTAGCTCTAAAGGTAAAGCTGTTGGAGCCTGCTAACTACGCAGGTTGTAGTGGAAGTCGTAATTTGCAGGACAACATTTCAGACTTAAAGGCACAGGTGGCTGCAAATCACAAGGTAAGGGGAATTTGCCTCTCTTTTGATCCACTGAGCACCTAGGTTTCCCTATCATGATACAACTTATTACTTCTTTGTCTGTACCCCTTTACTTCCCATGAGTGACAAAACTAAGACAGAATTTCTTCCTGCAACATCAAGCAGACAAGTGATGAGAAGAGAGAAAAATGTAAATTAGGGGATTGCTAGAAGATCCAATAACAAATTCTTCAAACTAGCATTACAGGAATTGTTTGGCAGACAGTGAGGAGAATTACTTTTAAGATCTGGGAGTGAAATGGATAAACAGAGTGTGCAACAGTCTCATTTGGTGTCTCATGGGTTTCACGTCTGTGGTAGTAGGACCATTGAATGAAAATTTCACATCTTTTTACTGTAGGGAATCAACCTCATAAATGCACTTATAGATGAGTATAGTCTTCCTGTTGTGCAAGCCTACATGGGTTACATTCAGGTATGGTAACATTTTATTGTTACTCTGAAAAGTGATTACATTTAGTTATGGCATCACTATAAAACCTCAAGTATACTCCAGTTTTGACTGCTTTGATCTCAGTTTTAAGAACTTCACTGGAAACATGCTTCAATAAAATAAGTATAAATGAAATATATCAATTCTTTTGTTCATGAAGTTCAGTTGAACTTTTTTTTGTGGAAGTTCATCATAATTATACTCAAAGTTTGTCAAGAGTATGTTGAATTTCTGTAAGAGTACTAACAAATTTTATCAATCTTTCTTTTTAGCAAAATGCTGAGTTGGCTGTTAGAGAAATGCTCACAGAAATTGGTCTGAAAACAAAAGTAAGGATGAAATGAGTGCTATGTTATTCTTAATTAATAATTAAAAATAATGTTATTCTTAAAATTTAACTGTGTTCTAAGCAAATGCTATGTTTTGTCAAATTTGTATATGTCAATAAAAGTAGTCTAACAGTAACTGCTTCCTGTAATAGGAAAGAACAGGAAAGTCAGTACTGCATGCATTGGAACATATGGATGATGGGACTCCAATTAATCTTACAATTTCTATTGATGAAAACAAGGTACCTACAGTTCATTTTGAATGGCTTTTTTTTTTTTTTTTTACTTTTTTGTTGCTTCTTGTTTTATTTTTGCTAAGGATAGGATTGGTGCAGAACAAAAGACTCTCTGCATCGATTCTATCTTCTCTTACCTGCTGGATTATAGCAAAAATTATTTAATAAACTCATTTAAAGGCGATTGTACCTAAAAGAAGACATCAATAATTTTTGTATCTGGTTACAGGGGTCAGCAGTATTTAATTTTGCTGGAACAGGCCAGGAGTCATATGGAAACTGTAATGCTCCACGGGCCATTTCTCTTTCTGCTATTATCTATTGTTTACGAAGCATGGTTAAGCATGATATTCCTCTTAATCAGGTACAAGAACAAACAATTGTAAAGCCTAATGAAAGTATTTTTACATAATTATTAAACAATCAAGAAGTGTGATGAAATATTCATAAAAGCAAACCTAATTCAAGCAAAACTGGTCTCTTTGAATGTGTTGGTTGTTGTTGTATACAAGGAGCACCCGGACTGGTAGCATTTAATTGGAGCCGGTGCATAATGAAATTTTGATGGTAACTTTGAACTTGCGGTCAAACCTGGGCAAAAACATTTTATTTGCAATGGGTTCATGTTAACTTTCTTGGTGGAAGCATGATCATCTCCTGATTTATCCATTATGCATAAAATCAAGCAGTTTGAGCATGGGTGTTGGGCTGGGTAATGGTATAGTGTTCTGGTACTGAGCGAGACCCTTATCCCTCTTTTCCACAAGTTCATCCCTGTCAACTCTTCTGGCTTGTCTTGGGTTCTCCAGGACTTGGAAAAAATCTTCTGGTCTCTTATACAGTTGCCTAAATATCCTGGATAATATTAAGTGGGGTGCAATAAGAAACTTTTGGTTTGTGGGGAAAGACTCAGATAAAGCAGTCAATCAACAAATTTTGGCTAGGGAGGGGATCAAACAAAAAGAATCCTCCAAATTGCAGATGTTTAAGTTACTCAACAAACTTCTGTGCTGTTTCTTGCAGGGTTGTCTGGTGCCAGTAAAAGTACATATTCCTCCTGGTTGTCTTTTAGATCCTTCACCCTCTGCAGCAGTGGTTGGAGGAAGTGTCCTGACCTCACAGAGGGTTGTGGATGTCGTTCTCAAGGCTTTTGGTGTATGTGCAGCGTCACAGGTATTAAAAAGTTAACATTCTTATATAAGTTACTTGAGCCTTGGAGAACTATCCTGTGTTATCAGTAAAATCCCTTGGGTTGCCTGCAAACTGGCCTGAAATGTTGGTTATCTTACTTCAGTTATCAGCAAACTTACCAGGGTCAATAACAGACTTGTTTGAGAGGTTAGTTAATTGCCACAGTGGTTGGCAAACGGTTTTTAAGATTTAGTTGAAATTGCCAGAGTTATCTGCAAGCTTGCCTAAGTTGATTTGTCTGCAAACTTGCCTCAAACTAGGTAGGGTTGTCTGTAAACTTGTCTTAGTTGTTGGCAAAATGGCATAAGTCGCAGGCAAGCTGTTGCAAGTTGTAAGTGATCTCACAAACTTATTTCCTTTTTCAGGGCTGTATGAATAACACAACTTTTGGTGACGAAGGTTTTGGCTATTATGAGACTGTGGCTGGTGGTGCAGGCGCTGTACGTTTTCAACTAAAAATGCTCTCTAGGCATGTTTATCTTTGACATTGCCATCTTCATGCATCATTACTGCCATGGCAATTGTCATTGTCATTACTTTAAAGCATACAAGGGAAGTAAACTACAAAATAGTTCTGATTATACACACACACACACACACACATACAGCAATAGCATTTGCATTGTGACATACCTTTTGAATATATGATAGAAATGAGTTGGAGTTTCTGTTAAGGGTCCTACATGGATTGGACGAAGTGGTGTCCACACCCACATGACAAATACACGGATAACAGACCCTGAGATCATAGAGCGAAGGTATGTAAAGAGAAAGTAGTACTGCCTGGAGTATCCTCAAAGGGCACAACAGCAACAATTATGAAAGTATTTAAATGTTATTGTGATCCAAAGAGAAGCTACTTAGTAGCTAATTGTGTTTCTTCTTGGTTAACTATGAACATTTCAGTTTGCCCCGGTCTGCCATTAGTCAACTTATTTTTAGTTTTGCCATCAACTCTGAAACTTATTAAAACTAACAAGTATACTCTGGTGTTCAGTCATTTAAATTTTTGATATGTTGAAATCACTCTTAACCTTTTGAAGATCAAGGCTCTAGTTTGGGCAGCCATTATTATCCTCGAAAAAGAAAAAAAAAGGCTGGAGCAACGAACTGAAGCAAGTTCATATGATCACAAAACAGTAACAGCCAATTCATTGGGAGACAAATAAATTAAAATCCTATGATTATAAGCTAGAACTGCTACACTATATAGATAGTGCCACAAAATATTGGACTGACAAGCAGGCTGAGCTGCAAACATTTTGGGGAAAGGCAGATCACAATTGCTGCAGTGTATTCATTTGCATTTGCATTTGTATCCTACCCAGAAACTAGTCCCATACTACATGTGTCCAATATGTTACATTCCTTGTCATTCCCTATAGGTATCCTGTCATTCTTCTTCACTTTCATCTCAACCCTGGTACTGGAGGTGATGGTTTTTACAAGGGAGGGGATGGTGTCATTCGAGAGTTGATGTTCAGAAGAAAACAAGTCTTGTCAGTTTTGTGTGAGAGGAGATCAGCATTTCAACCCTATGGACTACAAGGTATAGA